ACGCCCTCTCCTTGCACCCCCCCTTTGCACCCCCCTTCTGCAGCCCTCCATGCTGCCCAAGGCCACCTCGCTGCCCTCCAAACAAAGGAGTGGACGCGTACAAGCTCGGTCTAGTATTTTATTAGATTTCATTTCCAATATGCCTGTATTGGAAGATTAGGAGACAAAAAAGGCACAAACTCACATTAAAGAAACGACGAGATCATCTAACCCATTCTACAAAGTGTGTTGCCAAAGGAAAGAGCACGATGAACCGATGAGAACGTGGTGGGGCGGGGGGGGGAACCCAGGGGCGGGTGCCGGGGGCACCGCGGCGCTCGGAGCCGCTTGCGTTGGGGGTCACGGCACAACCAGCGCCCCGGAGCCGGGCAGGAGCCCAGTGCGAAGCCCTCCGGAGCCAGCGGGGATCGGGGGCCGCAGGCCGGTACGGGACGCGTCTATCCCAAGGCTGAGGGATGCTTTCACTTCGGATCGAATCGGGAGCAGAGCAAGCAAAGGGGAGAAAAACGCCAGTTCGGGATGGAGTTCCTGCATTTTTTCCCCCCCTCTGTTTTTTCCACTAATCAGGAAAGCTTTATGTAAAAGCTCTTACTCTGAAAACAGAGGATCAGCACAGGATTGCACGGTGGAATGCTACAATCTGCTTCCACAGCGATTAGTGTCATCGGCCAGAAAGCCTCTTGGATAACACAAATTTAAAGAACAAACGTGCTATGTTTTCTCGAGTTGTCCTCAAGTGTAAGAATCCCTCGAAACGTAACCAACGAACACAAACAGAAGTCAGTGCATCAATTTTTAGTTAAAAGTATTTTAAACTGAAAGAACTATTAAGTGGGGCCTACACTCCTAAAATACTTCTTGAACACCTAGAGAAGATGCCATGAAACAATATCCTGGTCCCAAACAGCCTTGCAGATTAAGATTTAGTATCTTCGCCGGTTTTACAGTAAGTTTGTTTTACTTCTGCCTGGTGAGTTTGCTAAAAATCCCTCATCCCTCCCACCCCGCAAAACCGCCTGAGGTCACTGAGAAGAGCCCGCCAGAGTTACTGGTACAATTCAGAGCTTATTGCACTTAGACATGAGTAAGGCAAAAAAACAAACTAAAAAAATAAAAGGGATAAACTGCCCCCTCCCCAGTAACCAAAAGCCATCCTCTCCCTCCGGATCTTGAGTTGTCTTTCCTTGCGCTGAAAACAGTTCAGACCCAAGCAGTACTTTTCAGCATGGCCTGGGGCCGTTTCAGGGTTTCCTGCTTGCAGGAAAGGGCTGAAGGAGTCAGATGTGTTAGTAAGTGCCCGAAACACTCCTTGAAAGTGCAGATACACCCACGTCTGTGTTTGGCATACAGTATTTTCCATTGGTGCCAACAAATACAGAAATGGAAAATAAAGTGATGCCTATTGTGGGGGGTGTCAAACCCTGGGCCTGACTCATAAGCAGAGAAGCTGGAGGGGGGGATGTCTCTCATATATTCTTAAAAAGCACTTTTTTTTTTTTTTTTTTTTTTTGTAATTCTATTCTGCTTATTTGATTGTCTAAAGCTGATATCAACATAAGGATAGTTACAGAAAGAGTTAGAGTTCATTAAATACCCAGAGCTGATTTCATTGTTCAACAGAATCTGTTGTAACTTAGAAGAACTGGCAGGTCTCCTAAAAAACAACTGCAGGTTTTTGTAAGTTACTGTTCTCTAGAAAGAAGCAGCACATTTCAAGTCAGTCTGGCAATGGGAAGAATATTATTGCTAAGCAGAACCACCGACCCAGGCACCTGAAGGTAATCAGATACCAAAAACTTTACTTAAACACGAGCTTTGCTACGTTCTAATTTGCCCGGGAGAATCACATTATTATTAATCAAAATATTTTTAATTTGGTGTGCTATGCTAAATCTCACCAAAGAAAGAACCAGGAAGTTGCAACATTTGTCAAGTGAGTTTTTACAGTGATTTTCTAAGACTGACACACAAAGCTAAAGGACAACAGGATGACAGAGGCCAAAGGGAGCACAAGGGGGTCACTGAACTGAAACTCCAGTTCTATGCAGAAGGACCCAGCATGGGGCTGCCCAACACGGCTTCTGCTCAGTCTTTATTCTGTCTTAGCACAGGTGAGTTGAGATATTGCTGTGCAGAAGCCACGTACTCATTGCAGACCAAGAGCTGTATCTGGCTACTCCTGATTATGCATTCAGATGATACGCTGTCAAATTTGTTACCTCGGGAGCAAGGTCAGAGCACAGAAGTTTATGGAATAGTTTTGCACTCTAAAATATTGACTGTTTCCCTCTCCAAACAGACTTTCAAAGAATGGTGAAGGGCTGGGCAGAAACAAAGGTGGCAGTTTATCCCAGTTGGAAAAAAAAAAAAAAAAATCTAAGTCACCACATCACAAGACTAATTTAGCTAAAAATGACACTTGGAAATCAAACAGGGCCACATGGAAGTTGGTCTGAACACAATGAAAAAAGAAAGGAGGGAGGAGTCGTAAATACAGCGATCTCTAAGTCACACGTCTCCAAGGAGCTACCTCCTTCATATACGTGCTAACATTGGAGTGCTTAGTACCAGACAGTCTATTTGCTCACAATATTAAAGGGCATCTAGAATTAGCTAAGGGAGACTTAAAATCGCCTGCCGATTGGATATAGAAAGGCTTGATCCAGAGATGGTCCATCAGTCAAGCGTGTGGATTCCCCAGGCCTTCCTGATGACTGTCTTGCAAACTAAAACAGAGAGACAACAGGAAAACATTTCAGAACCACTTTGGAAGTGTGCTAGAAGTGTCAGAGTGAACCCTCCTAATGTAACTGCTAACAGATGCTGCCTCCAGCACGGTGCCAACGCACCACGTTTCAGCCCGAATCCAAAGCAAAATTTCCAACAGAGACTGACAAATTGCAACTTAAATAGCCTAGCAATTCCAGGGGCCACGGTACAATTATGAGAAGACCATCAAGTCACTCTCTGAAAACTAGAGGAAATGACGAGGAAACTAAATAGTTCACATTTTGTTAAAAGATTAAAGTCTATCTAGTAAATTTGGAAGATGGTAAGACTTCCCCTCCATGTTCCTCTCTTATCACCAAATAGCCACTAATTATTAAGGCACATGCAGGTGCAAACAGTCCCTAATAAAACCGGGGCTAGGCCCCATTCTTTCCAAGGGCAGCCAGAACTGTGATTTACTGCCCTGGAAATGTTTTGGACTTGGAATTCTCATCTCTGTGTAACATGGACAGTGTTTTCTTTCTTGTCCCCTACTCACTTTCCCAGTATCACATTTAAAAAGAAGAAAACAAACAGACAAAAACCCACACTCAAATCCTGCCTACCCTCTCCCAAAGTCCAAACCAAAACTGATTATATGATTTAAGAGAAAATGGTTTAACATTCTCAGCACTGCTTACGTCACCATCAAATGTGGCAGGAATAGAGCTTAGGGGGTTAGTCAGCAAGGGCAAATTCATATATGCTCTCCAATATGACATCCCTCATCCCCCAGGCTAACACGCTCATAATGAAGTGCATGGAATAAGTTAAAGCTTTCAAACACTCCTCTCGTCCTTCCTCTCTGATGGGTAAGCACTGATGCACGTTTTAGTCCACTAATAAATACTGTTAACAAATGATATTCTAGAAATGCATTAAAATGGTAGTATCTGCAGATCCAATTCATTCCTTATGGACTGACATTGTTTTTTTGCAAGTCACGGGAATGGACACATGCATTATAATGAAATAAAAACAGCAGTGATGTGCACAAAATGTTCTAACACATTTTACTTCAACTTTCAGTTCAAATATTGCTTTAGAATAATTCTGAAACAAGACAGTAAATTCACTCACTGACTTACCAGTAAAACAGGTTTATTATCAATTAATACTACAGTTTGACTGCTAGCAACTACAAATGGGATCATTTGTCCAAAATGTACTTGTCTTAAACAGAGCAATGAGTTTTGTCAAACTCTCAATACCTACAGTGCACAAGGAAGAAGTCACATTAGTCATCTGCAGCTGTCATTCCTTTCACTGGATCTTTTTCTCTCATCTGAAAGAGGAAACACATGTCAAATATTGATTCGCAAATGATGTTATTTCAAACTCTGTAGGCGTGGAACACGTTAAACAATCTCCTTTATCTAAGGTCTTGTTTATATCTCAGTACTGCAAAGCAGTTCTTGGGAACCTGCAGATCTAGACACCACTTTTGGTAAGCTGCAGGTCTTCTGACAATCTGTAACCATTAGCCAAAGAGCAGAATGTGAAACTAATGAAACATGAAAATGTGAAACGCAAAACTAATCCAGTATCCTGAAGAGCCAGGTGAGGGTGGGTGCAAAACACCCTCAAATCATAGAACTACTATCTCCTTAACAGCAAATTTGAGAGCTAAAGAATGGTTTTAGCAAACTGATTTTTGGAAATGGGATTCCAATGATCATTCATCCAGCTTTGGGGAAAAGTTAAGAGAAGATTAAGTCATAAATGAATCACCGACACTCATACTCTGTGCTACCTATGCGACAATATATTTATTGACTCAAAAACAAATGGAAGGAGAAGTCCATAATGATTAGAAGGAGATACCAGAGCAACTAAGTCACAGCAATCATTCAAACCACAAGCAGCATGACCTAAATAGCAGGAGGACAATATACAATATGCTGGGACAATGGAGCAGTCTTTCCTCTCTTGAACGTACTGGTTGGAAACATTTGCTTACACAACCCACCCCTGCCCTGCTTTTTCACTGACCTCATCCAGCTGTCTCTTGGTCTCCTCCTCCATCCTACGGATGTCCTCCATAGTCAGATCAACCCACTTATCAAGCCAGCAAAAGAGCTGCCGATGGAAGTTTGTGAAGAGACGCTTTTCTTGCTGAAAAAGGAAGAGGAAACACGATGTAAAGTCATATAAAATGATGTAAAAAATCATCTTTCATGTAAAAATGATGAGAAAACAATTTATATGAATCTAACTAGACAATAACAATTCTCAGAGAACAGTACCAGCTCCCTGACATACCCTTCTGTAGATCTGCTAGAACTGGAACTGAAACTAGCTCAGTTTTATTCTTTTAGGAGAACATCTAGAGCTTTGAATCTCTAAAGAAATACTTCTTTCCAAGCGTAGACAGCAGCCTGCACATTGGACAAATTAGTGAATGCCTTAGACATTTCCTTTGACTCGACAATATTGTTCTGATTGAATATAGCATTCCAGGCTTGGTTTACTTAAAGCATGATGGTAAGACTGAAGAAGCACAGAAAAGCAGAATCAAAATAAAAACTGTTTTCAAAAAGCCCTTGCCTTGCTAAACACTAGAGGCCAGCAAATGTAAAGGACTGAAATGCACCTACCTTGCTTTTCCCTTTTGCAGTGATTTGAAACGAGTCTAAACTTGTTTCCAGGGCTGAAAATCTTTCAGGGGAGGTAACTAATGTGCACAAGCTAGTCCAAGTTACAGGCAATTTATTTCCTTTTTATAGGAGATAAGCCAGGCAAGATCATTACTAGATAAAGGTACGCAATTGGTCTTGGCAAGTTTTCATTAGGGAAGGGCACTTCAGTTCTACAGTTATGATTTTGCATCTGATAAGTTGATCTCAACAAAAACCACTTGATTACTTTGAAGCAAATGTGCAGCTGAAGAGACATGGAAACAGAAAAGGATTCAAGATGCTGCTTTGTTCAAGGCTTTTGTTATAGATACTTAAAATCTTGCAGCATGATCATTGCTCCTTACAGTTCTCTTTTAAGAACTACACAACCAAACCCAGGTTTTGGCAGAAGCAGCCCTGTAGTTTATCATTATCAACTACTGAGGAGTCTTTAGAATCTGAAGTTACAGGCAAATCGTGAACATTGATGTTGCCTAGAAAACTGCATGTTCTGAATCCTGAGTCTGGTATTCTGCTGCAGTTCATGAGGTATGAACTTATTCAGAGAAAGAAAACAAACAAACACAAAACAAAACAAAAAAACCCTTTCCAGGGTATCAATTATTCACTTTTAATTTTTTCCCTATTTTTCCCCTCCCCCTCTTTTTTAAACATCTTTTTTTTTTTCCCCTCAGCAGATGCCTAAAAAAGGAAAACATGACTATAGGAGATGGGAGATGAAACACACCTTAGCTCCTCATCTTTGCCCAAAGAGCTCACTTACCTTCTGTATAAAGTTCTCAACCTTGCTTTGCAGACCCCACCACTTGAATTTGACTGTTACCAGTTTATAAGCACACATGTATGGACAATCCGTCTGCTTCCCCAGCTCCTTCTGCAAAGATATAAAGATATTTACACCAGGACTCAGGTCAAACATTTCCAGGAAAATAGCTCTTTGTGTCAATATCAACTTCTCTAGAGAATCTATAAGTTTGATGCAAACAGCCTGTGTTCACCTCCACTGGTGCCCTTCCCTGCAGTTTAAGAATGCACCATTTCTTCCTATCTTTTGTTCTCCATTTTTCCTCCATTAAATCAATCTCTTTCAGAACCTTCACCCTTTTGCCATGGCTACTTAGTTTCCTTAAAAGTCTTTTTACAAAGTCCATAACAAAGAAAAATTTGGAAATGCAGATAGATTTTATCAGCTGGGTCATCTACATGATGGTCAAGACTTTGAAGAACTCCACAAAGTCCGAAAAGCAGAATTTCTCACATCTTTTTACAAAAACCATACTCACTCTTCCCAAGCAGATGTTCAGTACTTTCATCCCTTATTACAGTTCCAACTAGGCTTGTCTGCTAGAAATCTTGAATACCCGTGGCTCCACAGATCCCACCCCAAGTCCCTTTTAAAGAACAGTAACATATTCACCATCTAGACTCTTCCTACACCAAAGGTTTAAATGAAAGGTTAAGCACTGCTGCTCGTAGCTCAGCTATTTCATCCTTGAGTTCCCCTGGGTGAGCTCATGGGCTGAACACCAGACAGTTCTAGAAGTTCCTTTGAACTCGTCCTATTTGTATCAAACTTCCAGTTTCTTTAATAGGAGAACATACGACCTGCTGAGTTCTGTGTCCTGCTACAGAAGCACATTCACTGCCTTACACGCATCTCTACGGTCCCAAGCCCCATCAGCTGTACTTCAGGCAAGCAAAATGATAGGGTTACTGAACTCATGGAATTCACACCTTCCAGTTGGGGCCCAGAGGTCCACGTCCAGTCTTTACAGATTTAAATTTTGCTGGATCTTCTTCTGCCTTGTAATCCTGTTGGGTGGACGCACAAGACAAAACACAGGTTATCCTAGTGTTACCCAGCTGCCCACTGTCCCACAGGAGATATTTTCTTGGTGCGGAGAAACCTCTAACTCACTTCGGAAGAGCTGATATTTTCACTCGGACTCCACCATCAGCTCAGGCTTTGTTCAAGGGAATATATTTCACCCTCCTGTGCTGTATCCCAGACCTACGTGGCATGAAGCTGATGCAACTTGTGTAAGGAATACTTTGGGATAAACCACAAATTACTATCAGATCTGTAAACTCCCAGGATACTTATTTTTTCCACCTATTCATCAGAGGCTAAAAACAGCTGCTGAAGAAAATACCTACGCTGTCCAGGGCAGTAGCATCAGGTGATTTTCCCAGGTGCTATATTGAAATGATGCTCACATATTGCATAGTGGAAGAGAAATAGAGTCAAACTCACAATATCACCCAAAATAAAGAGACAATAGTTACGCCCCTCTATTGAATGGCAAATACAATTTGTAGCACCCTCTGTATCCATGTTAGATTATGATCAGGATGTGCAGTCTAGTCTGAATCCCACTTCAATTAAAATGAAAATGGACTCAAATCATCATTAAATTACTGTCAGAAGCATCTCCAGGTGGCCTCAGCTTGCTCTCTCAGAGCATTTAGTTATGAACAGTCTATATTTGCAGATCTATTTTCTATTGTCAGAAATGAGATGTTACTTGCATTTTGCAAATCCATCTTTATTGGAAAGAGAAGCCAAAATAAGTACTACTTTTGTTTAAATGGCAAGGCTCTGATTAAGAATATGTAAATTAGTCAAGTTCAAACTTGGTATCAGAAATACCAAGTAGTGGAATTCAAACACACTACTTTTGGGGGGGGTGGTTCTTTTTCAGCATAGACATATCCCTCAGTTTCTTAGGGTAACTACAGTGCTTCTTAGAACATTAGCTATGAGATATAATGTGCTACCATAGGTCAACATCAAAAGAGATGCTCTTTAAAATTGTGTATGGTAAGGGCAATGCTATCCAGATATGTATATATATTGTCTACTTGCACTCTAAAGCTAAGCAACATTTTACATCTACATTTTACATATATTTACATTTTCCAGACTTGATATGGACTCTTAGAGCAAATTTCCCTCCATCCAGCTTCAACCACGTTAAGGAACACGGAAAGTTGGAAAAAGGCATTCCTCACTGTCCTCTTATTTGTGACCATTCCTGAAAATGCATTTGTGTGTTACCTTTCCTGAAGTAAGAGGTGGATAAGAACCCCAGGGAGTTCTTATCCACCCACCATACCTTGGGAAGTACTTGACTCCGATCAGCAATGTCTATATAAATAGCTTCTACATTTTTCCATACATCTGGCTCCAGTTTATGAACCTGCAGTGAAAACACAAGATAAATGTAAATGATCCAGCTACAGAGCACTCCTGTGACAGTAAAAAACAGATGGAGACGCAGACACCCATTACTCCCCTTCTAGGGACAGGGCAGACATACCACAGTAAAGCACAACTCGAGATCTTCTAATAAAGAAAGGTGCTCAAGCAGCACAAGCATTTCAGGTACAATTTTATTCAGCACATATGAGGTAATGAGAGGAATTTTTACCACGTAGAGTTTCTGCCTTACTAGTGAAATAAGCATTTGGAATCCTGGAACACTGAGAATAAAGAGAGTTTTGCCCAGCAGTTCTTTAAACTAGCAAGGAAAGCAGTTTTCTTGGATTAAAGAGATAGAGTATGTGACAGAAGTACTTACATTCTCTTGTGTTCCAAGATCTGATTTATGCCAGGTTTCAATTTTGATCAGGAAATCATCCTTCATATACTCATTCTGTCATTGAAATAAAGCTTCTGGTTATTCTTTGGAAATAGAATTTGTCTTCTTATTAGCTAGATAAGCAGCAGAAAAGTCAACTCAAATTTGACCATTGTAACTTGACTGGGGTTTGAGGGAACTTCAGATTTATCTGTAAACATGGGGGTTGCTTTTAGAAAAGTTATGTGATCACTAAGTGCACAAAACCAAACAAACCACGAGATGTTCACTGGAAAAAAAACACTGTTTTAGTGAAATGTGGGAGAAGAAGAGCCTAAAGAAGAAAGGCTACCATTATTTAGAAATTAGAAGGGGTAACATAAGGTAAACGTGCATAAATTGGCTTTTCAAGGAGAATGTTCACCTAGCACTCCATACATGTTTGGATGCAACTCTTCAAATGAAAAAGAGTATCAAACTGATAGGTTGATAGTTCTTGTGCAAGAAGGGAAGGGACAAGCAGCACAGTCCTGCCAAGTAAGCAAAAAGAACCCTGCCCATTCCCAGTTATGACTGTGGTTAAAAAAAGCCTTCCAAAGGTAACTCTATCCTCGCTCAAGGTAGTACAAACAAAAACACACGCCAGTGAAACACTTGGCATGGGAAAGGGAAATATCAAATTTAGAAGGCAGATTACTCAGAGGGACATAATGATAGGAACTTTCTTTTAATCTGTTTATCTGAGCAATGGTACATTGCAACACACATAAACCCTGCAGTAAAACATCTCTGTCCCTTGTTACAAGCTGTTTGTGGAGGTGCTGCAGGTGATAAGGGGGCCGGGAGTTTGGCTGATCTTACAATGATTCACAATTACAACGATTTACAATTTCAGACATTGCAAATGCTTGCACAAGTCATCAGTAAAAACAATACTTACTGTAATAACTGGTCCAAGAAATCGACACATGAAAAGAAAGAGATACAGCACTTTAGTGAAAAAAAGAAGGCATAGCAACAACCACCCTCCTCCCACTGTCAGCACAACAGGGACAATTTCAGCTTCCCAGGGAGCTGCTGATATTACTGAAGAAAGAAACTCTGGAAGTCTGTTAAAAATAGCTAACTTTGCCCCATTCTCCTCTGGAAATTCTCAGAATTGGAGAAACCCAGAGGAGCAGCAATTAATTATGTACTGCCACTTCTGCTCGCTGGACACCAGCCAGCTGGATGAGAAGATGGAATAAGTTTGTTCAGCTGGCAGCATTTTACCAATCCTTTCTCAGCTTGCAGATAAGAAACCTCTCCATAGTTCTGAAGCAAACACACGCTGCATTTCAGGCCAGGGCAGACCTCATCACTCCTGCATGCAGTAACCAGACCCTCTGTGTCTCTGCTGCTCAGGGTAACTAAACTCCCTGGGTAGTAAGGCTCAATTATTCAACACAGAAAATCAATTAAAGATCCTGTAACAGTCAGCATCGGTTCTACCTGAGCCTTTGGAGTACGTGAGCAACTCCAGGCTAGTCTCAGAATAAGGATGTCTGTGGAGCTAGAACAAACCACCAAATTTAACTGTAAAGTTTAACATGAGGGCTTCGTGAAGAAGCAATTTTGTTTTAAAGGTATTGTTCAAATTGGTGAACTTCCCATCCAACATCCTGACAACAGAACCATGCTTTAAAACCCATCATGGAAAACCAACGGCTTTAATTGCCTGGGCCTTAGACTAGTCTAAACCCCTCATAGTTTGAGAATTGCTTTTTACAGAGGGCTGATTATTTCAAATGACGTGGGTTTGTGGGGGAAAAGGCAAGAGCAGAAACAAGTGGTGCCTGGGTCATTTTTTTTAAAAGACTTAATTTTGTCTCAAAGAACACTTCATTCTTTTTTACAAGGAGGAGTTTCCTACTAGTCCACATGAAATACTGGGTAAGACAGCAATAATTATCAACCAGAGCCCTTCCCACGACAAAGTGCTTTTCATTACTATGCACCACAAGAGCTGTCTTAAAACAGGTTCGTTCACCTTCCTAGAGGAAAGATTCTTCAGTTCTAAAGGGAACAAACTCATCTCTTTAGAAATGTCCACTAGAGGTTAGATGCTCAGCTTGTTATAAACTGAGGCGTGAACTTGAGGTGTTACAGCAGTAACTCCTACACATTTCAGCTACAGTTTTGACCTCTCATTTCTTGACATTTGGCCCCAGGCAACTCATGCTGACACCCAGAAGGGTGGAACACAAACAAATTGCTTTTTTGGAAGCATTTAAATGACATTAATATCTAGGTCAGACTGCAAAAGAAAAGAGCTAAGACTGCTGTTCTCCTTGGCAGCAGCCCATGGTGCTGCTCTCAGGCAGTCCTCGCTTCATTTTTATTGCACATGTTATAAATGCATATAAGCAACCACCTCATTTACGATTCATATTCTGGTACATCTGCAGTACTTGTTTGATAATGGTGTATACAATATGCATAATAAAGTGATATCTGAGCTTTTCAGAGGAGACATGGAAATGTAAGGATGATCACTACGTCTTGTGTATTTAAAAAAACACGCTGTGCTGCACAACCAAAAAGTTTTTCTCCAAGCTTAAAAGGCTCTGTGTAATAGTCATTGTGCAAGAAAGAAAACACAATAATATCACCCAAATATTGGAAAATCCTGGCAGGATACCACTCAACTCCAGCATTGTTGATCCAAACTGAGTTCCTACTGCATCCCCAGCTTTTAAGTTTCAACACTTGTAAGAGCTCTGAAAGCCACTGAGGTATTTTGTGCTACAGAGAAAAATGTATGTGAGGTTATCCCAGTCCTTTCACTTCTGACCTAAATACCTGAACTCGGCTCAGTGTAAAATGATAATCCAACAAGGCACCTACTCCATACCCGAGTTCCTCCTCCTGCCCAGTACCAGCAAGTGAAGGTTTCAGCAACGTCTCTGAGCATTTCTTGGTTCGTGTCAGGCTGGCAGATTCTGTAAACAGATTTGTCAGCCTCCACATAAAAACTGCCTTCTGCTCCAGCTCCCACAACAATACACTTTCTATTGCATTTTGTATTAGGTTTATCACAGTTGAGGGTTTTTTCTTCTTTATACCGTTTCTGGCATAGCAAAATCTAAAGGTTTTTTCTATTGTGCTGGATTTTGGCAAGTGCAATTTTAGCAGTGAAACTCCATGCCTTTGTTCCAGTCACTGGCAGAGGGAAAAAGGAGGAGGAAGATATTACTAGATATTAACAAAATCGGATGGAGTCAACTTAGACCTGTGTCCACAATTTAAGGATTTAGAAAGAGAATTGTTGGCATCTAAACCAGCCAGAGTTCATAGCATGGAAACAAACTAGATATTACTGCTCAACTGATAAGCAACCGATACTCAAAAATAAAACTACACGGAAGTGAGAAAACTAGGTTGTAAGTTCTGGTTTCTGCATCTTGAGTGATTAATGGCATATTAAAAACTTATTTTTTATTTATGATGGCAGTATTTGAACTCTGTGCCTTTGAAATACCCATGCCACCACGATTAACCCATGCAGTTTTCACATACTTAAGAATATTAACCTTCCTCACTGCAAAGCATATCCCTAGTTTAAAACACTCCATTTAAAGCTATGTTGTCTTAAGCAAGTTCTGTTGAAAATTTGTTTTTTTTCCATATTGAGTTCGAAGAACAGTTGGGATTCTTAAGTTTACAGTTCCCATAGCAATCGTACTTCTGCCAAATAGCAAAAAAATGCATCTTTGAAAGATACAAACAGCATAAAAGGCAGCCAAAACTACTGTGCAGGCTTGGAGGCAGAGTCAAAGCTGCAGTACCTACAGCAACAAAGACAGCCCAGAAAAACAGCAGTGGTCACACACTGTGGCTGGTATCTTGGTGTCTATCACTGGGGTTATTAAGTATTCCTCACGGCAGCAGCAAATGAGTTTGTGCCTCTGCACAGCTCTCAGAACCCCAACCCAGAGATTACAAAGGGATTCACTTCACACTTGCAGGTTGAGATTTTGCTGTTTGCGTCAAGCCACCATTTCCCACCACCCCAGAAGCCACAGCATTATCTGCTCACGTTTCACTAACTTGGGATCCCACAACGAAGGAAATCTCAATCACATAACACTGTTGCTCCCTTCAAACTGCTAACTTAGGAAGAGGCAAATATCCCAGCTCCACAACACTAGATTTTGCTTTTCCTGAGCCACTGCAAGGGCTTAGAGAACAGAAATCCAGGGTAAGAGCTGAACCATCTTCTCCTCTGCCTACTTCTTTTCTCCTCCCCTCCTACTTCCCCTTAAAGAGAGGCCAAAAAGCCAGCAGTTCCCAGCTTTTCCCTGCATACTCACCGGTTCTGCAGTAGGGATAGGCATTCCATGCTTTTTCATGGATATTGAGAGCTCCCTCTGGGGCCAGCATTCTCACAAATGTTGGCACTTTGCTGCAGAATTGAGGGACAGGGACAGAGGTATCAGTAAGAGCCGCGTGGAGCAAGGGCTACAGCCTAGACACTCAGAGAAAGACACAACAGCACCTAAAACGTAGACCGAAGTCATAGGTATGCGGTGGTGGTATTGGTGGGGTTCCCTCCAAACACCACAAAAAAAGAAAACAAAAAATCTAGAGACTGTTGAATGTGAACAGGCTCAACTAAGCCTTCTTCACCTAACGAGAAAAAGAAAAAAATAAACATGTAGGGTGAACACAGGTTAAAATTTAGGAGGCATTTGGCTTTATAGTGAAATTCAAGTATCAAAACACTGCATAAGGGGACTATCTTTGCTTCAAAAAGGGGCTCAGAGACAGATTTTCTTGGGGCACCAGCCATGCTGAGGAGGGCAAATGGGCGCTGCAATGATGCTCACTTCAAGCTGCGCTGTGCACGAGCTGCTGTAGTTCTTGTCTCACCTCTGTGTCTTCCAAACCCTTCCTAATCTGTGATTTCCACTATGAGCCCCCATTCCATCTTCCCCTGGTTCTGCCTTTTAACCCCGTCCGCCTCCGGGATGCTTCGCTTACCTCTGTAAGTGGTAGATCTTGTGTGTGTACTGGCCACGCTCGCCATCTCTTTCGTAGGGTTCATTCACCAGGACCTCCACTCCTTCCCCTCCACCAGTCTCGTTTTTACTAGCTTCTGCCACAGAATACAGCTGTCCCACTTGATACTAAAGAAGTTAAAGACACGTTACTGCGATAGCTGTAATTTGGAAGGAGTTATGATATTTTTACCAAGAGAAGCCAAGGGTAAATTTATTATCTAAGGAGAAGATTGAGAAAATAATATCCACTTGTGTGGCCAGATAAGCAGCTCATGTAATTTCATTTTGACATGCAAAGCTGGAGTGGTAGGAGGAAAGCAGGGCCAACAACATAACTATCTTTAACCCTTGAATCTCTCAAACTCAAAACACAGACAAATTCAGAAGAAAGTAATACAAAAGTTGAAAGGGCTGTTAGAATGACATTTAGAGAGAATCCAGGAGATATCATCTGTGCAGTAGCAAAATTCATTGTTATGCACTCTTTTTGGCACACAGTTGTTCAGGTGAAAAGCACTGCCAGTCCTAAATTAATGAGCATACAGCACAATGCATAAGAATCCCAAGGAGTTTCACAAGAAATCTTAGTCTCTATGTGTATACTAGTATGCCTAAATATCTCTTGCCAAAATTAACAGTCATTTTAGGCTATTTTCTTCACTGAACTTCTATTTTCCTTCTGAATCTGGTTTAAACACTGCTCTCTCAGGCCCTTCCCAACCCAGCCCTTCTTCCTTCAACTATCTTTAGGTGACTCCAAATGACTTCCTTATACCTAAATCTGTTCTTAAATTTTACTTCAATGAAATAACTGAATAAACTATCACCTCAGAGGGCCAGTTGGCCCATTCTGTCACCCCATCCCCATTTTTCCTCCCCTCTGATTGCAAAGAATTATTCATAGTCCAAACTTAAGCTTATTCAACCAACCTATTTTTGTTTGACTTTGGGCAGACTGCCATGACGTACCTCCCCTTGGCCACAAGCAGTAAACCACTGAGAGGCAAAGCAGAGCATTTCTGCAGACAGTAAAATTCTTACCTTTAAGAACATTTCTCAGTCTCTTGAAGAGACTCATTTAGCAGGATTGACCCTCAGAAATCGCCCACATTATTTCCTGCCATACAACCGCTTTCATAAGAAGTTTCTCCCAAATATTTCACAGTTAAAACCAGAGCAAAATCAAGTATATGGGCAAGAGAACTTTGCTCTCTGCATGGGATGTAAACACCAATGCACTCTTGCCTCTGGAGGTGAAAAAGTGGATGCAGAGCTTGACAGAAACATGATCAAATGAAGAAAATTAATGCAGGCCTCTTTGAAGCAGAGCCAGGGAATCAGAAAAGATTTGAGGATAGAGTTAAGGCACTAGGTCAAGAGGAAGTGTTCAAAGCACAGTCAAGTACAGGAATTTTCTGAAGTGAAAATGACAGAAAGAAAACCCTGATGCTGAAGGCAACACATGGGAGGGCTGTTTGGAAACCTGCTAAGCTCCTCCAGAAAGGGTCGGCCATCAGAACAACGACTAAGTAAAAAAAATTAAATAAAACTAGAGAACCTCTCAAAACAAAACTCAAACTACAAAGCAACAGAATGTTGCTTATTCTTCCTTTGTACCAGCACTGGACTGCGCACCAAAATCAGGACTAGGGAGCACTCGGCATTCCCTCCACTGAAATCCAGACTGGGAAAGTCAAAGACTGCTCAGAGCTGGCAACCCAGAAATAACAGCCTGCTGGCCCATCTCCAGCAGCGAAGGAAGGTTTTTCTAGAGTAGTTAAATTTTGTTGTCAGAGCATCCAAAATAAAACGGAACCCAAGTTCTATGGGGTTTTAAACCATCTGGTGCCAACAGTCACGTTCTCAGGCAGACATTTCACTTGGGGAGCATAGATGTGATGGCAAAGGTGTGAAGCTCGATGTACTGGCCTCCTTCTGGGGCACAGCCAGCAGCACAGCACAGGGATTTAAACTAGTGCTCTGGTACGTGCCCAGGTCAACCTGGGCAGTCTCAGCGTTTACCACAAAGCCAGATTTAACAAGTCTGACTCCCTGTTCGACTATTCCTGCAGAAAAGCACTCAGGAGAATCGGCCTCCCCAAGAGCTCTCAGCCAGGAGCAGCAGCTCGGGATCACTGCAGAAGGTGCTGGCCCAGGTTATCCAAAGAGCATTCGTGTCACTGGACAGTTCCTGCACCGGCACCAGCAGATTGGGTTTCAGACTGGATTTGGGGCTGCAATATAACTCTCTGCCTCCTGACATTTCATACACCATATTGCTTTCCTCGTGACTAACTACAGATGACCCATGCAGAACAGAACACTCACCTCTCTCCAGAGGAGCAAAACACGGGCGTTGCTAAATCTTTGAAGTTGAGCATTTTAATAGAGTAAGAGTCACACATGTGCACTCATAGAGAAGAGAATACATCATGAGTTCGGCAGCTACAGCACTAGAGGGGAGCACAGAATGGCACTGAGGGCAGCACAGCAAGTTGCAGGGCAGACCTCCGGAGGAACAAACTTAATTCCTCTTAGTAACAGCCTCTCATTCATTCCTTTTCCCTTTTAAATACGTGGGTCAAAGTTCAGACACTAAGAGGATAAGCCCTTAGGTTTGGCATCTTCACTGTTTAATCTTCCCTGTTATTTCTGATCCTTTAATCGTGTTGATAAAAGAGGAAAAAGCCCAAATAAAATTGTCCCAACGGGCAGATCCCACAGCACCTGCCTGTGGAAGTTAACAGGAGGTTCTGCTTCCGTGAAGTCTAGAGCAGACAGAGTTATCCCTGCAGCCCTGAGAGCTCCCGGAAAGTTTTCCTCTTTGTCAGACAGCAACTCTTCTCGATCTGTCACAACATCTTCTATGCAGCAGCCTACCTATCTTTGTAACACCACATTTCATTCAGAAGGCCTCGTTTCAGTGCAGCCATCTTCCTCAAGAACGGCTATTTTCCTGCAAACAGCTTTGAACACAATTAATAAGAGCCCTTTGTGTTTGGCAAGCTCCTTCCCATGTGAGAGGAACAAAGCGGCAGCACAGAATGTGTACACACAGCCCTAATCCATAGCAGCATTTCTCAGTGGCAGCTGGTGAGACACCCACACAGCAGCTCAAGTCCTTGCTCTCAGAGGTGACACTGGGCAACGTGACGCACTGGGAGGCTGCAAGAGTAAAGGTTAGTGGACCTAAGACGCACCGAGTTGGTTTTTGCTGCCGTTCTTTGCAGGGCAGGGATGCACGAGGCAGTGCAGGAGGGCAGCATGCGGCGTGGCCCGCGCAGGACCGCGTTTTGGCAGAGATGCTTTGCAGAAGGCGTTTGCTACAGCCCAACTCCTACATCCCAGCCTTCAAGTTTTAGTCATCACTAAGGCTTCTCCTCCCATTTGTTCTTATCTGAGCAGTTACTTGGCTAAGCTACTCAGTGTTGAGCTCTTTTAAGTCACATCTCCCCACCATCTTCCCGATCATTTGTTTATTCTTGAATTTCTTACTACTGATTAAGCTCCATTTGTTAGAGATGAAGGGACTGAACAGAATCATGCAGTGACATAGGAGATTTCCCTCAGTCCTATTACAATGCTTCAAATACACAACTTAATTTCATTTTATGCATTATACATTGGCAACAGGCTTTTGGCAACAAATTGCCTGCTTAGAATGTGAGCTCTCTGGTCTTTCAAGCAAAATTTCCTTACATAAAGTTAAATTAGGAGTGTCCTCCCCACCCATCACAGATGATTAATAAGGAAGTGCACAGTCAAGAGCCACTACCAGTCTCCACATCCTTATTTAGCTTGTGTATGAAGTCAAGGGAACCAACAAAGTTTTAGCAGCTGTTTTGCAGCACAGACAAGCACAGACCAGCGGCCGGGTGATGCAGAGATGGGTGAGCATTCCTGCACACAGGAAGAAGGATGGAGCAACGCACAGCCCCAAGGCAAGAGTCACCCTTCTGCTCAGCCACAACCACCCCTCCTTTAGTGTATCCTTAAAGCTACGAAGTGATATAAGCACCTATGTAAAAGCTAAGGGAAGAACCCCTCCTGCTTAGGGAACTGTATCCTGGAATGTTGCCCGTGTACCACATGAGAACCCACTGCTCTTGACAAGGGACATCATTCCAGAGACACTCTGATCATATGCACATCTGGGGAGGAATTAAGCTTGGTCAATATTTACTTCCCCTATCTTGGTGCATTCCTAAGGTGTTTTCTCTAGTATTTGCTTCTAGTTATATTTATTTGCTTTTCACTTTATAGACTTTTCAGTTGGTTACTCAACTCTTTGCGCTCCCTGGACCCAGGGTAAAGAAAAACACCTTCGTAAACAGATGCCTGCAGGGCATCCTCCAACGAGGAAGTTGCTCCAGTGAGATTTATGTATTGCCCGAAACCTCTATTTTCTATACAGGCAGCCAACACAGAAGGCTCAAAACACGCCTGGCACTGAACAGCCAGTCCGGGAGGGAAAAGAGCAGAGCAAGAGACTCGCTTTAACTGGATGAAGGTTAATCCCAGTATCAGAGAACTTAGAAAACCCCTGGGTTGGGCTCCATCCCGTCTAACCGCCTCAAAGAAACGATCTGTATACTGATGCTATGACTTTCCCTTAACACAAGCTTGATACCTTGAAGTATCTCATTATGAAGAAGGGCTTCTGCTCTTCGGGCTGAGGTCCTCCCTTACCGAGCTCCGGAGCTCCTTGACACAGAGCTTTTGCAAATGCTTCCCTTGCCACTTGCAAGTTGGCGTCTTTTACTTTCTTGTTAAGACTTATCCTGTTCTTTGTCAAGCTCTCGCTCACACGGGTGGAATAAAAGATCTAAACACACCTACTCCAATAGGTTAGTCACATTTGGGTCAAAACTGCTTGAAACAGTTTCGTGTAAAAAACATATAAGCTACAGATAAGGACTAATTCACAGAAATTCATATGGAAAATCCTATATTCATGGGAAAGAAAAATGAACAAGAGTCCTGTCCTCACAGCTGTCCCTAAGTGTCAGAATGAGCCCCTGAACAGAGCTCTCAGACTGAAGACTTGCAGTCAAGGGCCATAACCAAAAATACATCCAGGAGACAGAGCCCTGGCACAGGCTGCCCAGGGAGGTTGTGGAGTCTCCTTCTCTGGAGGTCTTCCAAACCCACCTGGATGCCACCCTGTGCCACCTGCTCAGGGTGTCCCTACTGGGGTTGGACTAGATGATCCCTAGGGGTCCCTTCCAACCTCAACCATTCCATGATTCTGGGAGAGGCAGACTACCCCAGCACTGCTATTGACTCAGACATTCCACTTTCTCAGCTACTTTCCCCACGTGAACAGAGGCAATGGGAAAAGCATTTACAGGGTCAGATTCTCTGCAAAGGGTGTGCAGTGCAGAAGGGAAGAGTGTTAAGAAAAAGGGAAGAATGAAGGGTAAATTGCAAAATACCACAAGGAATCAGATACAGACACTGCACAGCTACTCCATGGCCACTTGAGCAACCAAAATCCCTATTTCCACAACCTCCTTCACTAAACAAGAAGAAAGTTTTCTTTTGTTAACATCTAGAGAAGATGGGTCTTAAAAGGTTTTAGGATGTACCTATATAATCTTTGCTTTGATATACCAGCCTCATCAATCAAAATAAATAGTTTTAAGCTCTTAGACAAACAGTAACAAAAGAACTAAAACAAAACAAACAAACAAAAAACCCAGATTAATGATAACTCCAATTTGTATTAAAGCTTCCTCTTCAAGTTCAAAAAATAAAGGAGAAGGGAGAGGGGAGTAGAAAAAGAACAACAGTATTAATCAAGAAGGAACTGTATTTTAGAGCAATCTGACAAGTTGAGATTTATCATCAACAGATCCGAAAACACTTTACAGGAGAGTATCAGTATCCTGAGGCTTAGAGAAATTAAATTACTGGGCCAACCCAACAGTGACCAAGTGAGAGCACACGGGGTTTCTGAAGCCAGCTTCTGAAGACAGCCACATCCTTCTGCGTTTTGCAGGTTTTGTTCAAACCAGACGCTTTGATTGTAAGTTTATTTGTGGCCTGAAAAGGAGGAAGGAAAGCAAAAAGGACTTACCTCCTCCACAGACACAGGCAGGATAACACGACTGAAAGAGAATACAGAAACAGAACAGGAAGTTAACAAATGGCCCTGCGGTTGCAAAACTTAGATGACATTTTCCTCACAGCAACAGCTACACAGCTTTCCTCGCCTCTCAGTCTCCTTTCCCTCTAGTACAAGCATCCATAGCACCTGCTTTTTGGTCCCCAAACTATTTGTTTAACAGCCTCAGAGAGAAGCTTTGTGTGATACAGCTTAATTGCAATCTTAAACTATAATCTTATCATAGAGTCTTTTAGGTAATATCTTCCCAGGCTAGGAACAAACAGAGGATCAAGATTGTTGCAAGTTCTTTCTCAATACATTCTCCTCCATAATCCCATGTTGTTTCTTGACAAGCTGTTGCGGAGCGTTGTTAGGTACCTGGGCAATTTTGCAGTGATCTGCAATAGCCACACCATAGCAATACGTCTCTATATGTCCTATGTGGTCGGAAGCAACCAAACAGAGGAGCTGTACGCAGCTGACAGAGAAAGGAGGAGCTGCCACTTCTACACATGAGTCACTGGTTTCACGTTGTGGTTTCCTCATTGCCTTCTAGATTCAACTGACTAGAGCAAAAACTGCCAGAAGTCATACTGAGATTTAGCTTTATTCTTGTCCTTTCAAAAAATTTAAGAAGCAATAAAGATGCAGCTTTATTAAGGCCTTTAGAAATGTCACCTGTGTTCTCCAAACTAAATATATATTCTCTCTTGGTTTCAGCAAGGTTGATGTTAAATCAGGGAACTAAAGGATGACAGAGAGATGAAATGGATAGAGCTACTGTGGATACAAGTCCCCAGGAGCTCAGTGTGTTGATACTTCTTGAAGGGAGAAAAGGCTTTTCATAGCTCAGCAGCAGTCATTCCCTAGACTGGCACGAAGAACCCAAGTAAAAACATCAAGAACTTCCATAATCCTGAGAAGGGAGAGACCGCACTTAGCGCTAACACACAGTGAATACAATGCCTGTTTTTAAATGCATGGAAAACAATTGTTGCTATTAAAGGAGGTTTGTAAGAAGTGTTTCAAAGATGTATGAAGCTTTCCAGAAATACTCCCAGACAGCCTTATTAAAACCAGGGGAAAAACAACAACAAACGGTGTTCAGAAAGCTTTTTGGTGGCCAAGGAATTGCACTAAGGCAGTATGGCTTCTAAGGCAAGGCCGTGTAACAAGCTGCTAGACACACGAGTGAATGCGATAGACACAAACAGTCGGGGTGGCTCTCTCCAAAAAACAAACTCACACCTCCGAGACAGGTTCAACACAGAAAAGCACCCTCAGTTTACAGACTCTATTTAAGCTTTGAAGAATTTCACTGATAAGTCTCAAAGAAATGTAGATATTATGGGATAAAAAGTCATCTATATCAAGGATTAACAATCAGCTAATAATAATAGTGATATTTTTTTCCCTATGCGAGAAGAATGTTACCAGCAGACACCACAGGGACAAGCTGTAAGGGAGGCATAAGTTTATAGGTTGTGCAAGATTACTTAGGACAGCAAAGCTTTATGTTGGCTGCAAAAGCAAGCAGAAAAACACTGCTGCAAAGTGCAGATGAAGGTCGGTGTCCGTAAAGCAAAATAATGTACGACAGGCACTGAGTCTGCCCAAACATGTGGGATAGTGAGCCCCACATTAGTTGTCACCAGCAGGTATCTTGGGGTCCATGTGGAAATATCAGTTCAGTGGCTGTTCAAGAATAAATACAACTTCAGAAAGTGGAGCGGAGAATATAAACAAAAAGCATGAGATAAGAGCTATATCTCTGTATAATTTCCTATGCATCACTGTCTTGAATATCTCATATAGTTCTGGTCATTCCTTCTCAAAGAGGATAGAGAGTAGTTAGAAAAAGATAACAAATGCGATCAGAGAAAAAGAGAAAAAGCTTCTTCATTAGAAGAAAATACATCAGGGTCCTCAGCTTGGGACAGAAGACAACTGAAGGGTTAAGACAGGTTAGCACTTTACAAAGTCGTGAATGGTGTGAAGGAGTGAATGGAGAAAAGAACAATGATTATTTCTTAAAACAGAACAACTGTTGGGGCATAATAAAAATCATTAGGCATCATATAACAAGCAAGTCAAGAGCACTCCTGTATATCATGCATAATTAAGTTATGGGATTCCTTGCCAATCACAAGAAGCGTAAGTAATTTTAAAAAGGGATTTGGTCAATTCATGGAAGTCTACGCCACTTACTGGAAAGATGCACTGAAGATTATTCTGTTCACTATTTATATATTGCTTCCTAAAAAATCTGCTAGAGGGCAAGGTGGGAAAGGACCTTTGGTCCAGTTCAGCAGGGTACTCCTTATACAGAGGAAAACAAAAGGAAAATTGGTTTACCACATATAGACTGGACCATCAAATATGACGTTGAGTTAGGTACCTGGCACAGGATGAAGCTGCAGTAAGAACCAAAGAGGGACAGAATAACAAATAAAGATGGAACACAAAGTATCACAGGGAAGAAATTCAATTAGAACTGAATTCAAGTATTTTATCTGGAAAAACCTGGCATACAAAGGTGGACTTACGCTAATGAAATTCTGATTAAGAAGGCAGGAGGCAATAGATGTAAATATCGTGCAGTTGTGTTTTCACAGAAAGAAGTGAAATAGTTTACAATCCATTTAGCCTAGCAAACAAAGAATGTGGGGGCTGGCTAGTATTTATAGGTAGTCAAGTGATAAGGAAGGAGGAGAGAAAACAACTCAAGAGGGCAGAAAGGAAAAGCCTCTCGGGACTAGGAACAGACACTCCCAACTTCAGGACAGAACACAATTAGATGGTGAGAAACTATATGATGTGGTTACCTGCTATATCAAAGGCCCCAAAATACTGCAGAACATTTAGGATGCCTCCTAGATTAAGATCTGCCTCAAACGACAGCAAACGGAAGCAGAGCTGCAGAGAAGGTCAGTGTCATTATTGTCACTCCACAGGAAAGGGAAGTGAGTTTCCGCGCTCAGATTCTCCTCAAGGTCTCCCACTGCAGCTCAAATCAAAACAGGGAGACGAGGCAAGATCTCAACTAGCACTTAAAAAATCCACAACAGGGGAGAGAGAGAGAGAGAGAGAGAGAGAGAGAGAGAGGAAAAAAAAAAAAAAAAAAAAAAAAAAAAAAAAAAAAAAGAGAGAAAGAGAGAGAGAGAGAGAGAAAAAAAGAGCCTAATGAACCTGCAGAAACGTATGGCCCTAATGAGGATGAGTGTGAATTTTCGTCACTAGTTGATTAGAAATGCCGTCAACTGCTTGAAAAAAAAAAAAAAAAAGACAAACTGCAGGTTATCTGTGGCAAGGATAGGTAGAAATGAAGAATAATTGTGACTGATAGGGCACTAAATGAAAGCATTGAACAAAAGCTATTGCTGCATAACCATCAGTAAGAGAAGCTGCAGAGGAAAGACAGATCATACAGATCGCCTGTCAGTGAAAGAACTGACACAGGGCAAGGTCTCCTAAAATACCTATGGAACAGATAATACCTGTTTGGTTTACGAGGAAGGATGTAACAAGGGGTTACAGAAAGAATAATCTCCTCACATGACACGCAGCTTATTTGTATTTTTACCACTTACACGAGGCGGGCAGCAGGCTGTTGAGGCACCAGAACCAATGAAACAGTGAGGAAGAGTCTTGCTCCCCAAGTCATGCCAAACCAAGTGGTTTCTGAACATCTTAACAACTGCTTCCTGGAACGCGAGACTTCAAAACAGTCTCAAATAGCACTAAAATGGACAACTTGTACATCCCACACTGAGGAAGATTTATACAAGAACCAATATAACAACAAGAAATCAGAAGTAAATTATTTGACTGATTTTGCATCTCTGACTGTCCTTAGAGTCACACATCCTTTAACAGAGACAAGGAAGGGAGGGAAAAAAAAAAGGACAAAAGAGCTAATGATAAGGCACAAGAGGTTTGGGGGCCTTCTGAAGATAGAAATGGAAGTCAGAAAAAAAATAATACTTGACTTTTGCCCACCAGTCTTCATTCTTGACTTTTGTTCATTCTTTATATGTTATTTCTAGAAGAGGCAGTGTGGAAGAGCAGTCAGATTAGCTGCCGTGGTGAGAATACCAAGCGATGTGATTTGGGGAGGGCATTCGGGCTTGGGGCAGCTCCCAGCGCCGCGAGACGCTCGAGGGAGCAGAGCTCCCTGGCAAGGGAGCTTCGCTGCAGCGCGCGGCAGGGCTGAAACCGTACCTAGGCTCATGAAACAGATAGCAGCACTGGAACAGAAATAAAACAGCTGCCATAAGAGAAAACGCATGCCTACCAACTGTAGCTGTAGAGCAACGAAACAGGGGGATAGATGAGCAAGTTTAGGAGCTTCTCGTGCATCTGTGACTGAGTTTATCCTGTGTTTCTGTCTGTTACACAGCTGTGCTGCTGTTGTTAAATCCTTCCCCCACCTCTCGGTAGAAACGTCAAGGATGAGAGAGGGGGAAAAAAGAGTTATTCAAGATGAAAGGTAACTACAAGGGCCAGAGTTTGGAAGTTTAGGTCCCCAAGGTCTGGCACAGGAATTGTCAGCAGGACATTGGCACTCAAGTAAAGGCGCTTGACGGAAAGGTCTGAAAGGCTCTACTCTGTCACCGAGCTCACAGCTACCTTCCACCAGGAAAAGGGAGAGGGAAAACAAACACATACACACAAAACAACCCTCTTCCGGCAATCAGAAGTTTAAAAGGACGGAATGCACTTAATAAAATAATAAGTAAGCAGCATCTCAAAGTCAGGCTCAAGAAGGCTCAGAGGAAACGGGAGCAGCAGGAAGGTGCAGCAGGAGCCTCCTGCCAAAGTGCTGACCCGCAGGGGCCCGACCGGCACCGCACGGGGCAGCGACGTGACGGGCGCTCGGGACACGCTGTCCAGGCCACGGCTGCTCCCCCCTCACAGGACACGACAGCCGGGGGAGACTGAGGGACAGTGAGGAATGGGCAGGTGAAGGAAAAATAAAAAAGAGAGAAAAAGCTGAGGAGCTATTTAGATCTGTCACATTTGTTCCTCTTTGATTTTTCTAGGTGGAAATTACCAAGGGGGTATAAAGCAGGCTGGTCACTAGGCCCGTTACAACCAGGGGGAGGTGAGACCCCCCCCAACCCTGTGGAAACCAAGACAAACCAAGATGCCAAGGAAGGATAAAGCAGCCCGGGAAGAGGCAGCGGTGCCCGGGCCGGGAGGCCGCCCTGGCCACACGGAGCCAGGCGAGGCCCTCGGCGGCACCGGCCCCGCCGGGGCCCCCGAACGGCCGCTGCGGAGCCGCCACCGCGGCGGGGAAGGGGGGGCAGCTCCGCAGGCCGCCCCCGGGGTGCGGGGGCAGCGGGAGGCCGGGGGGCTCCGCGCGCCCAAGCGGAGGTGCCCGCGGGGCGCCCCGGCCGCGCTGCCGCCGCCGCGACCTTCGCTGCCGCCCCCGCGGTGCTCCAGGCCCGCGGCGAGGACGGCGGGTGACCGGGACACGGCGGGCAGCGCCGCGCGAGGGCAAGGAAGGAAAGGAAAGGAGGGTGGGAAGGAGGCTCGGTCCGCACTCACTATTCCTTGATGAGCACCATGGCGGCGGCGCCCGGGCCGGCCCCGCTGAAGGTGAGAGGCGCCTCCGGGCCGCTCCGCTGCTCCCGCACCGCGCCGGCACCGGGAAGGGGGGGGGGAGCGGCGGGAGCGGGGCGGCGGGCGGGGCGTCTCTGCGGCAACCGTTGCGTCACGGCGCCGCGCACGCGCACGCGCGCTCACGCCAGCCGCCACGCGCGCGCGCTCGCCCGGCGCGCGACCGTTGGACGTTGCCCTGGGCGGGGGGGGCGGGCGCGAGGGTTTCCCGCGCTCCGCCGCCCTGAGGCGCCGCCCGCGGTCGCTGCGTGTCCCCAACCTCCTTGAGCGGGTTTCTCAGCGGGAGGGAGAGGCCCGACGAGGGCCGAGGCGAAGCGGGGATGGGGCCACGGAGCCCGCAGATAACGGACACGGCCCCCGTGAGAGCAGAGGCGGTTTGGGGGAGCGGGGACCCCTCTGCGGCATCCGCACCCGCCGCTTGAGAGGTGCCGCAGTGTGGGCTACGCTCAGCAGTAGCAATAACCCACAGGGTTATTAGAGAGAATCACCAGGAATCCTTTTATTAGGCCTCTATCTGAAAGTACTTGGGGCACAGCCAGGAAAATGGCTAAAGAGGGCTGGATTTTATTTTTGTGTCGGGAATTGGAAAATGAATAGGAAAAAATATCTATTTTTTAACATATATTTTAACAAAATATATTTTTCAACATTTAGTATGTTCAACTGCGCTGTGCAGTACGTCTTTTGCAGCATTCCAGCCTAAGGCTAGGGCGGTTTGTTAGCTCATCTGTTTCTCGGGTTGCTATCAAAATAAAATTAAAAAAAAAAAAAAAAAAAGCTTTTACTCATAGAGAGATTAATTGCCCATTAACTCCTGCCCAGAGAAGCAGCAGCACAAGGAGCTGTTCAAAGTGCAGCCAAGCAGGTTGGGTGGCGAACTGATACCGTGCAAAAGACCTGCGCTAACACAGCCTCCGTACAAACCAAGCAGTAACTTTATTATGTTCAGCCCCAAAGGGAAAACCAGTGATTAACTTAATACCACATTTAATTTTTAAGATAGTACTGTAAGAGTGCACATCACCTTACACACACATTGAATTACAATTCAACGCTGACAGGTACAGTAAAAGGAGCAAATAAAAAAGAGCATCAGGATCAAGAGGTGGTGGGGAGGCTAAGCCCGGGAGGCTGAAAGGACGGGGATATTTTGAAAACAGGAATTTTCAAATTCCTATTTTCTTTCCTAGAGGAGGTAGAGAGAAAAAAAATTAAAAATAATTTAAAAATCAAGGGCCTCTAGAGTTTATAATTAACATGTGAGAATGCACCTCCATAATACATGACTGCTTCATCTATTTCCAGAGAAGATAAATGTTGTGAAATCTGATCAGAAGCGTCTGTTTTTACCTGCCCTTCCATGAGGAATACCACTAACATTAACTTGTGTTATGGATACTTGGCACTTCTAAAAAGGGAAGCGGGGAACACCAAAAGCCTTGTAGATAAAGGCAGGTGGAAGAACACTCAGATGACACACCAAAAAAAAAAGTAATGGAAAGCGTGTTGTTCTAAAATTACATTCTTTTCCCAGAGAATATCTGCTTTCTATTTTGTAGTGTATTTTGCAAATTCATCAGCTTGTCAAGAGAGAATCCTCCTACTTTAAAACATTTTGGTGATTTACTGTTTTAGTTAAGATCTCATTAGCCTACAATTTTCCTTTGCAGACAGAGCATGAAGAGGCCAGGCGCGGCCGTGGGAGTTAAACATTTCAATCACTGTAACAGCATTGCAGTTAAGCTGGACTCGCAGCAAATCTTGCTTATTTTCTGCAGACATCTGTGCCCAATTATATCTTAAGGATCCAAATACTCTGTGACAGTAACTGAATAAAGCTACAAGACTCCTATTAAGCAAAATAGCACAGATTTCCTCAGCTTCGCTTGATAGGCTCATTATATTAGTGCTATAAAGATTGTTGATGGGTTTTAGGTACTGACATCTCAGTACGAGGGAAAAGCTCCATCCCTTCCTCACTCCATTTTCTTGAAATAAAGACACTTATTAAATGCATGCAAGCTCTCTGCAGACAGAGAACACCTTTACAGAGCAGCAGCACTGGGTCCGTATGCTCCTGCAGACAGCAATGACTTGCAGATGGGTTTTCTCTTTAATTACATTCAGTTGGGGATGCTTCTAGTGAAGAAATGAGGTCTCTTCCTCAACCACCTCCTAGCACTTCTAATACAGACAGGGGGGAAAAGAAAGGACATTAAAAATGCTTATAAGGTCTAGAATTCAGAAATTAGGAAACTAGTTGAGCACATGGGCCTATATTTTAATTATACAGGTAAAGGCAATACTGATATAATCAATGTAGCTCTCCAGCCTTCGGTAGCCCCTTTATTTTCCCCACTGGGTGGCTCCCGCAGGAGCACAGCGGGAATTCTCTTTGTCCTGCATCATTTGGCCGGGAAGCAGAAACGCTGTATTCCGTGCCAGACTGAAGTAATCCAAGCTTATGTTTCCATAAGCACCAGAGCTCAAGGCAGCCTGCCCGCAAACACGTTTAACAGCGTGGTCCCAACAACGTTTGTTTCCTGCACCATGCAAGACAATGCAGAGGAAGCTGAAGGCAGAAGAGGCCCAGCTCTCCGGAGATGCAGTTTTTAACTAACTGTGCCCCATTCAGAACAGTGTGTGCACCTTATCCATGCACATATACCTTTGCTGATAGATAAATCAGAGGCTGCCTTTAAAATTAGTCTGGTCCACAGCTACAGGAGTTAAATGAACCCTATAGGATCATTCCACCTGGCCCAGTGTATCCATCATGCAGTAGGGTATATAGAGGCAAAGAAACATGGAAATTATTCCTCACTGGAGTTCTTTAGAGCAACTTTAAATCTCCCTGAACTAATGGATGTATTAAAGCAGGGTTTAAACTAGCCCCTTCTAAAAACCTGCTTATACTTTGTTCTCCACCGCATCCTGTGGCAACAAATTCCTGTAGGGACAAAAAAAAAAAAAAAAGCCTGGAAAGACAGACTCCCTTCCATCCACTCGACCCGCGATGAGTGAAGCTTCCTTGAGCATCCTATGTCCTTGTGACTGCAGCCCAGGACACACTTTGCTCCGAACCCCAAATGGAGCCTGAACCCTTGACTGGGGCCTGTGTTCTCCTCCTCTTTCCAGCTAACAATTCCTAAACATTGCGCCACATCAGAGACACTGATCACATTTATCCAGTATTTTAGCACAAAACTGGATTGGGGAGTATTCCTCATGCAGGACACGATTTGGGAGCTGAATTAGGTATGTGGATGGCAGGAAGAAAAGGATATTCTGCATTTAATCTAGCAGCACACTTGGAAGGCAGCAGCCCCACCACAGTGTATTCAGGAGAATGCGCCATTTGGGACATACTCCACTGTTTTACAGGGACATTCCTATCGGGGACTTGGGTGGCAGAGTGCCAGATGCCATGCTCAGGATTTTGAAATTCAATAACCTTAATGCAAAATTGGTTGCCACACCAAGGTCCTCAAGGAGCAGTATTTTCAGATATTCTGAACTTGAGGAGTATGGTTCAGACATGCATCATTCTCACCCCACACATACCTTGCAGCAAGAGTGGGAGTCTTTCAGAAACATTTATGAGTAGCAAGCGTAGCACTGCAGAATGCAGGAATCTGCGGAAAACCCTCTGGAAATAGAGGAAAGCTGAACTACTGCTGCTGGATTTCTAGGCACATAGTTGAGACAAACTGCAAGCAAGCAGGAAACCTAATCAGGACTGCACCTCCCTAATTATTGCTTAACACATGGGAAAAGGGAGCTGGGAAGGTCAATAAATCATCACCAAGCTCTAAAGGCGAACAGAAAATGAAAAATTTCAAACAATATCATTGTTGACAGCAGGCAATAAGGCTGTCTTGGAACAAACACATTTAATAAAGGTAACATAAAAAAAATCCACAAGTGTGTAAAATACTCAGTGGCAAGTCATTTTAAAACAAGTGACCGAAGACTTAAAGGTACCGGAGTGTAGTAGCTTCTGAACTGCGGCAGGAGGCATCTGGAGGCAGGGACTCGAGGTGGCGCTGCCGTCCCGCACAGCCCCGTGTCCTCGCAAGGGCACCAGCTCCTCGGCATTCCCTTCATCCAGCGACGCTTCCCGAGGCGCTGGGCAAGAGGCTGCCAAGCTCTGGGCAAGAGGTTGCCAAGCTTGTGATTTAGGTGAAGGCCTGGCCGGGCTGAGCACCTGCGTGCTTCAAGCCACGGGCACTGCAGCTAAAATGCAGTTTCCAAGTAATTTCTCACCAGCAGGAGCAGGTGCACTGATGTTTCCGATGCCCAACGTGGAGTTCGTGGGACAGCAGTCGAGTCTTTTTTACACTTTTCCAACCAGACATGAAGTTGAATGACTTACCGCTGCCAGGCTTTCCGCCAGTGCAGGAGGTGGCAGTTCAGAAGGCCCCACCACGACATCTTCATAACCACTTTTTGCTTCTTTGCTCTCTGCTCCAACCTCCCCGCAGCCACCAGCTCAGCCCAGCACTTGCACGGCCACACAGTGGCCGCCGATGCCCGCCCTCAACGCGGCACCGTCCTGCTCAGAGCAGCTCCACGCGGTGCAGTGCTCATTGCAGAGCCACAGGCTGAGCTACTGACCACACCGAAGGTTGAGGGGAGAGATGTCCACTTAGACAAGACCCGGGAAACCAATATAAAAATAAGCAAGAATTCCCTTTGTATTTCCTCTGTGGCAAAACAGACCCAAGGGCACCTTTACCCACACGTACTGCTCTAGAAGTCAGCGTCATCGTACAATCAATCACTGTGTACTCTGTCCAGACAGAGTACAGACATCATAGAAGGCTTGTCATACAGCCAAACCAGCAGCTTTTTGGTCAGTCACAGTAACCTGGTGTTCAGCAGCTCAGGGACTATTATCAGAACAACGTAAATAGGCTATGGCTAGAGGAAGAACTATGCTGCCCCATGGCCCTGATGCGCCTTCGCAGGATCCAGTTACCAGGGGCGGGCAGCACTCTGCACTCCTGATTTAACAGCAAGTCGGCTCTTGACACGTGAATACCGAGGGGTGTGTGCAGCCCCAGAACCCACCTTCAAGGAGCTTCTCCACTTTACTAAGTACAAGCTGCTGCTCCTCTCCCGGGGTCATTTCAGAGGGAGGAGGCGGCAAAAGGCAACAAGTCTCAAAGCACTTCACTGGTAAAGAAGATCCAATTCCTATCTGAAAGGTTCAGGACTGTAGACAGTTTATGACGTGGTACAGGTGGTTTACAGGCAGCAGGAGGAAGAATCCAGGCCTCTGAAGGCTTGGGATAGGACCAAGCAGTCCACTAGGCTCTTCATTTCAGTGTGGAAGGCAGGTCCATTGCTCACAGTCTGTGCAATATGTAGTAATAAAGAATTTGGGAGCTGTCAACATCAGCAGCCAGCATTTAGCAACATACTGAAGTTCTGCTCATACACATAGGAAGAAATTCTCTTCCCTGCCTCAGGAACAGTCTGGGATATGTCTGGATAGACAGTAAAACCACCGGGCCCAGCTACTCCTCAAGCAGAAATGCCACTGCCAAATTTAAGGGAAGAGTACAGCTTGCATCTGAGACAAGCTGAGGTTGGGGAAAGAAGGAGGGAAAAACATCAGACTTCAGTGTTATCTTTGCAAACTCAATTGTGGTTTTTCTTCCCTCTTCCCCCATCCCTCCAAATCCTTCTCTTCCCTAGTCCCCCCCCAGAGCAGAGACACTGCTGCTGGAGAGTGTGATCAGGGAATAATTTAAGACACAATAACTGGGTAGCCTTTATAAAAAGGAAAAAGTGTCCCATGTTCTGCAGGAAGGAGTGGGAGCTCTCTTCCTGCCATGTATCTGAGAAAAGTTCAGTCTTGCCGCACAGCCCTCGCTCCAGTGCCAAGCAAAGACTGGCAGAGCCAGGAAGGGAAGAGCCTGGCTTACGCCACAGGTAGAGCCCACAGATGTGGCAGGAACCTGTACAGGGGAGGTTATGTTCCAAGCACCAGTTTACACAAAGGCTTCCTCATTAGGAGTGCCATTGATCTTGAAGAAGAGTTTGGCATCATCGTTCTTCTGTTTTCGTTCTCTCTCTAGCCTGCGTCTGTAGCAGACCAGGTAGATGGGCAGGCAGAAACCCAGGAAGCTCACAGCAAGCAGGCCAACGTTCACCTGCAGGAAACGAAGATGAAATGAAGTTAAGAAGGCACCAAACTAGCCCAGCCGTGCACACTCACGCGTCAGAACCCTACCCACATCACTCAGCCACCGGCAATCCAGGAGACGCCCTCTTCAGTGTACTGGCAACAGCCTCCACTGTATTTGTATTTATACTCCTGTGACTGGAGCACCATGTGTATAGAATAAATGCTGCAAGACTCTGTTGTTCTGGATTGAGGTAGAAGGAATCTTGTTTCACAAAACAAGCAGGGCTGTTGCAGTGTTGCCGTGACAGGCTATGGCTGGTTTACAGGAGTGACCTTTGTCAGTCTCAGAAGCAGAAGACGGAGGAGATTTTAAGCTGTGGTTCTTTTACACCTCCACTGGTGGCTGTGGGAAGAGCCTGAGGTTGCTGGAACACAGGGGTGGGCACATACAGCCTATTCTTGCTCTTAAGACCACCTGTGTCATGACTGTTAGGAGCTGCCCAAAGAGGTTCTCTACCAGACACCACACAATAGCCCTCAACAGCTGCTGGGCTTTCCCCAATATCAGCAAATCAAAATTTACTGATATATGGAGCTGTTAGCTCCAAGGAGATTTTACAATACCTGCCACACGGCAGCTGCGTGCAGGAAGCACTCCAGCAGCCCTCTCCCTTGCCATATACGGGCACAGAGGTTAACAGCATCCCTCCCACGCCTCAGTACTTGCACAGAAAAGGTCCTTGACAGCACCAAGGTAAAAGCAGACTGAGGAGCATGCAAAATTTGCTGTTTGTAACCGAGGTTCATGCAAAGGAGCCCCCTGCTTTTCAATGGTGATGGTTTGGGCTCATTTCAAGTTTGCCACTAGGAATGGGACTTACCCAGAGAGGGTCTCCTTTCAAAGGTCCTGTCAACGCCATGAACAGAGGCTGCTGCAGAAGGGCAAAGAGGGCACTGACCAAAGACTGCAACCCTGTCAGGCTGCCAAACTGAGTGGAGGGGTATCTGTCACCAGAGAAAAGAGCAGCATTATTATGTGTCACCTTGGTGGTTCACATCACCCAGCTCCGATTACACTCCCAACAGACTAACAGAGCACAGTCCCAGGAGAGGTACAGTATGAAGAACTTCTCTCCTGGCCCTCTGTGCAACTCCCCCTGACCTGTAGCTTTTATTTAGAGCTGTTTGTATGAACCTGTTGTCTCCAGCTTCATTCTCTTCTGGAGAAGACAGGGCCAGAGGCCTCATCTCTAGACTATTCTCACGATGAACTTTAAAACTTATGTATTGTCACATCTTGTTATTGCAAAGATTTTGTAGCTATACCATACAACAGCTTGAAGTGCTTATACAACTACTGCTGCTAATGCACAAGGAGAAGGATGTTGTTATTTACTAGTTATGAGCAAAGACTCTTCATCCAGGTGACAGCACTTGCTTCTGAGCAATCATTTTCATCTGGCCATAACAATTTGCTCTCTTTAGAAGTGAGTGAAACCTGCACAACAGGTTAGCATGTTTTCCTTTTTAGAGGACAAATCTGATCCTATGTCAAATTAAACAATACTGTTGATTGGAAAGTGCTGAATACCAGATACTACTGATAGAAAAATAGGTCTCAGTAACAGCGCAACGTCTTTCTCTTCAGGACCAAGCAGTGTTTAAAAAGGATCAGGTTAAACCAAGCTTAGAAAAGGAGAATTGGACCAACAAGTTTGAATATTCAAAGAAAAGTCACTTTCAAACCAAAAATAACTTAATTCAGGAAGTTCCAGACAGGATTAATTTACAAGCAAGCCGACAAGTACAGGAACAAGCATTTACCTGGCTTAGGACAAAAGTTTTGTTTCTAACTGCCATGGAAACAAAAGTTCACGCATTGCTGAAGCCAAGCGTGAGATGGGTTTACTAGCTTGGACTCTCCATGTACTAAGATCAAAACCTTTGACAGAAAGATCAATAACTTCTTTCTGTTGCCCTGTCCAACAGGTCAGGACAGAGGAGCAGATCTGTTTTCAAAAACAAAGTGTTGCTTAACAAGGAAGAGAGTATTTACATTCATCTATTGATAAGATGGAAACAGGATAGATGATCCATCCTGGGAAAGGGAGGTTTCATTAAGGGCATCTTGAGCAATGCTTTACCAGTGTAATTTCAGAGCAGCCCAGGAACAATATATTGAATTATTTTATGCACATAGCTACTCATTGTAGGAAAAAACCCACACAAACATACACTATTAGTTCCTACTATAACTTCAGTGTTGATAACCTAGCTGTCCCTTGAGGCTCCCAAATAGCTGCCTTACCACAGTAAATAAGACAGTAAAAGGAGTTAACTGTAGGTCTAAACAACAAAAGCATCAGCTAGGACTTCAGCCCAGCTACCATGTCCAGCACTGATCGAGGAAGCAAGTCTCAGTTTCCCCCTCTGACTACGAAGTTTCATCTCCCTCATCCACAGATGAAGAAATTATCAACCCAGACAAGGTCACCTGGCCATTCATACCCTATATATAACTAGAGACTTACACAGCTGCATAGAGGCCTCCCACTGCTGAGTGGATGAATCCTCTCACAATTGTGTGCAAAATGAAGGAAAGGATCTGGAAAGAGAAGCAGAAAGTGTCAGGTGCCAAATACCATCTAGATGTACACATCACTCTTCCTAAAAGCTATTTTCCTTTTCCAGGCTTGAAGAGCCCAAAACCTAAAAATCAGCAAGAGGGAAAACAAACTGTTCTTGTTTCTAAAAGCAGCACATTTCCTTACTTTGAGAAGGCCGGTATGTAGTGCCCGAGGTTAACCACACAAGACCTATCTGATTTGGAGCTGGCACTGTTACAAAGACACGTCCCCAGCAACCAGGGCCAGGGTCATAATGCTTTTTTTATTGAGCTCTTTGCCAATTCAGTTAATTTTCCACAAATTATTGCAGATGATACACAAGTAATCTACAATCTACAGCTCTTCTAGATCATCAAGGTACGTTCAACTATAGCATAAAATCACTAAATTTCTCCATCAGAGACAGGTGGTGCCACAGAACAAATATTTTAACAGATTTATAATCCCATGAGTATCTTTGGGCATAGGTCAGGGCAGCATTTGGTACTAAAATAGCTTACTACCTGTATGTGTGTCATGCATATTACTGCAATTTTGACAGTCACAGCTTAAATTAGGCCCAGGTTAAACAGAGGCACAACTGAGAGGACCTCAGTAGGAAAGTATTTATGACCACAGAGCTCAGCTGCAGAAGCTTAGAAATAAGGAAGAAAATGCAAGTCAGCTCTGACATTTTAACTACAGCTACTTCCTTAGGTTCTCTCTAGAGATATAGGCTGTAATCTATTATTTGCTTTAACTGTAAGGCAGCTGGGGCTCTCCCCAGGCTCTCCTAGCAGGGCCAAAAAGCCCTCCTGCCTTCAGCTGGCTCCCAGGGCCTCCCTGCACAGCCTTTGCAAGGGCCATTCTCTCACTGCCAGCACAGCCATCCACTTGGCCTAGTTACCTGCAATGGGAGGTTAGGAATGAGACAGGTGACTCCAAATCCAACCAGCAGGAGGTTTGTGAACGCAAAGGCGTTGGTGGCATTGGTGATCTTCTGGATCTGACGATCTCGTTTTTTCTTTTTCTTACCGTTTCTGGAAAGACAGCGAGAACTGTGTTACACAAAACACGCCCAGCAGCTACCAGGACCCACAGCAGGATTTTCCACATCCTGCATCAGCCCTGTCTAAACCAGTTAGGCCAGAGATCTGCCTAGCGAGACGGTGGAATCTCCGTCAAGGGAAGCTGAGAAGAGGCTGGGAAATTATTTCAGCGTGGTTACCCACACTGTTAGGCTAGGATAGCCCAAGGCCTCCATTACAACTTAAATTTGCTTTTCTTAACTGATTTTAGTGGGTGTGGAAAAGAGGAACATCTTTCTGAAACAGTCTTTTCAAAGCTGGATACAAAAACAAATCCAGCCCTCAGTGCCAGTGGGACATGGGTTAGGTCACAAGTCATATATTGGCATACAGAAATAATGATGCTGTACTCATTAGCTATTTGCCCTATCCAGATTGCTCTAAATCACTTTAGTGTTTGAAATGACGTAGGGCAGGGGGGCCGGCTACGTGGGCGCGCGTTCCACGCGGTGCCCGCTACGCACTGCTCTGCGCTGCTCTCCTCGCTCTCGTCCGAGCCGTCGTCACACTCTTTCAATCGCCAGTCCATGATGTAGCCGATCACGGGCGCCGTCAGCAAGCACAGCAGCTGCAGCACCCCGAAAATGGAAGTGTACAGACTCACTGCGGGGGAGAGAAGAGAGGGCATCAGATCAAGGGGTACCCCAGCAGCTGCAAACTCAGCAGAAGTCCTTTCCCACTGACCAACAGAGAGACCAGACACCAAACAATCACACACTGAAACACCAAAGCCCCATTTCACTCATTTGCTTCTTGGACACAGACCATTACACTGCACAAACTCGGCTTGCTGGTTTGCAAGCACGAGAGCATCACTAGGACAACCAAAGCAATCAGTCCAACACAGCAGCTAGGTCTCCAGGAATGGCATCCTAGCAAATGCTCAGTCCCAGAAGGCTTTTTTATGGCTAGGAACAACAAGGAAAACTCTCATAAAGCAATAACCCCTGAACAGCCACCCCTGCCTTCGTCATCTCTGCTCCCTTGGTGGCAGCTCCAGCTGGGAAGCTCCTGCTCCAGCCGAGCATGGACAACCCAGGCTGGGAAGGTGAGGACTAATCTGCTTCACGCAGAACAGATGAATTTGGAGGTAGAGCAGGGAGAAAGGAGGATCAGCAGCAAGAAACCAAGCACCCGAGATCAACCCTCAGCACTCCAAACTGCTGAATATTCCCCATGTATTAAAGAAGCCTTTATGTAGATTGCTGTAGGACTGGGGATATATGCAGATTTGGAAGAAACTCTGCCCTCCTGTTACTAGACAGTTCCCCACACTCTGCAGTGCTTGTTCCACTTCCTCACTTCAGTGAGGATCCGATCCACATGCGAGGTGCCTGCGGATCATGAGGATCCGCAGGCACCTCGCAAGGGCTGGTGACTCAGTGCACCGCAGCTCCGAGAAAAAAAGATGCAATTCCAGAAGTGCCCATCTCAGCACAGGGTGCTCCCGAGCTGCATCAGTGTAAGGGAAATGTCACCAAAAGGAGTCGAGCTCGTCCCTGCCTGCACATCTCCGGAGCTCTCTTGAAGCCACAGAGCCCCGAGGGATACCAGAATTAACCTGGGAATGCAGGAGGTCACCAGCAAACCCAGCAGGGCTCCCTCGCTGGGCCACACCTGGCTCCAGGTGACACATTCCCAGCCAGGAACTAAGAGGAACTTCCCGCTCCAGTCTCTAAATGCCCCTTCCTGACCCCGCGGCCGGTGTGTGGACAAGCCCCGGAGCGGCCCCACATCCCACCTCGCTGGAGCAGCTGCCACAGCCAAGAGACAGCTGGTATCGCCCTCTGCAAACACTCCTGGAGCCGCTTGTCGGGTTATTTTTTAATAGAGGGTGAGAAGCTAGCCTCCTTGTCAAGCTTTGCTTCTTCCTGCTGCTCTGAACACCTGGTCTTGAGTTCTGAATGCCAAGAACCAAAGCCAATTTGAAGTGGGGAATAAAGTTTATGTGGAGAAGGCAGGAAGGGGAGACTGCAGATGCAGAGAGAGAATCTCTTGGCTTTTCTACCACTTTAAAAAGTCATTTCCTGCAGCCCAGGATGAAGAACAACACACAGAAAGTGCCAGCAGGGTTGGTAGTTGCTTTGGGGAGAAGAAACAGTGAAGGGTGGTGCAGGGGAAGAGCCCCACGGGCCCCGTGGCCAACGTCAGCGTCCCGGAGCCGGAACGGCCCTGAACAAGCAGCGCGTGGCCGAGCTTTCCAGCACGCCCCAATCGCACCCAGCTCTCCAAATACTGCCAGATTTAGTAACAAGACGTCAATTTAGGAGTGACCTGGCCAAATTTCAACTCCTAGACACGACAAGTAGGAAGACAAGAGGAGAGGAGTCAACAAGTTACTCATGCTGTCATTTAGAGGGTTACTGAACTCCTTAACTGCTCCATTTCCCAAGGGTTTTGGGGCAATAAGTGATGGGGGCTGAAGGTTTTTCCTGCCTCTAGGTTCCAGGGCAGGTCTAAGTCACCATGCAGATGAAGCAGGACTGTCAGGAAGGACGCAGCACCTGATAAGAACTTAAAAGACTTTGGTCTCCATTATTTACCCCACTTCTCTCTCCTGTTCTGCTCCTAGACATCTCTGCGCTTTCTTAGGAACTAACATTACTTGCAAGGGCAGCTCTGTTCTCCTTTCCCTGGCCCAGCACTCCCGAGCTCGGACACAGGTGAGGGCTCTAAAATCCCACACGTGTCAAAACCAGCCCGAGGGAACGCAGTGTCCCATCCTCTCCCGATCCCCCTGGATTAGATTTCCAGGGATCCACGCGCTTCTTGGAACTTGCTGCTGACTCTGCTGCCACCAGACAATACCACCGTTTTGCTGATGCCATGGAAACACCGAGGCAGCCGGCTGCGCCACAAGCCCAGGCTGTGCTAAAGGGGAAGGAGGAAAGAGGAAAAAAATAGAAAAAAAGGAGAAAAATAAAGAAAAATGAAACCCAGAAAGCTCTCAGAGGTGCCACAGAAAAGTGATATAGCTAAGAGGCACAACCCTTTAATGCAGTGCTTGATCTAAGCAGTATATGCAGCATAAATGCGTAACGTTAAGCCTAAAATACCAAGGAGGGAAAGAAAAAGGAAAGAAAAATAACGAGCAAAAAGGGTAAATGGGACAAAAAAAGGAATTGGTGCCAAAGAGTTACTGGGTAAGCAAAAAGCAGAGCTGTGATGGAAAAGGTGGCAGCGCGGAGTTTGTCCTGTTTACTGTTTAATGTCTAAATTAGCTCCGGCGCCAGGAGATAAAGAGGCGAACGCTGCAGGCTCGAGCTGCGCAGCGGCTCCGGGAACGCCGGGGCTCTCCGGCCCTCCCCCGGCGCGCTCCCGCTGGCGCAGGAGCTGCCTCTTGACTTATCAGCCGCGCGCAAGCCAGACGCAGCAAGCTCAAACTGGATCTTGCTACAAAGGACACCAGAAAAAAAAGGAAAAAAAAAAGGAATGGGCTGAGTATTGTTTTGCAATCCTGGGTCTTTTCAACAGCAGCAGACTAATGTACTCTTTCCTGTTTGCTCCGTGTGCTGAATCAGAGCTGCGAACGCAGGCGAGCGGCTGCCGCGAGCTCCCCGCGCGCAACAGCGATGACTTCAGCCTTCCCACCCCCGCGCCGGGCCGTACACCTAGTCCAACCATTAGTCATGGGAGGCAGCTGCTCCGCGCTCGTGCTTGCTTAGGATAAGCAAGGCAAATACCTGATGAAATAGGGTTCCCAGTGAAAAAAAACATCATCACAGTCTGTCCTGTGAGGCTACTTGGAACAAGCCATCTGGGGTTGAAAAGGGTTTAAGGGACATTGGGCTAAAATTAGCTTGACATTCAAGTGCCTCCCTCACTGCCCCAGTGCCCTGGGCCAGGTCCAGCTCTGGGAGAGCCCCCCAGCAGCTGCACTGCACTTTGGCACAAGCACTTGCCAAGCACCGTGTTTCTGCTGAGTAATCGGGCACGGTGGCTTCTTGCAAGGACCGAGGCTGGGGCAGGTCCCACTTCCAAGGGAACAGATCAAAATCTTCAGATTCCCCTACCTTGACCTTCATCTCCAGAGAGGAACTCAAGAATGGTGTTCATGGCACCCATGTAGAAGATGAGCCTCAGCTGAGTGACACACATTGTGATAAGGCTGAGCAACAAGATGGGGCTGAAGACGCTCTTCATGAAGGAGGGCGATGCTGCAGAAGGAATAAGATAATAAAGTTGCTGAAAAGGCAACATCTCACTACAAACAGGCACAATCTGATGCAATCCTGTGCCACCTGCTCTAGGTGACCCTGCATGTGAAAGGGGGTTGAACTAGATGATCGCTAGTGGTCCCTTCCAACCTTAGTGATTCTATGATTTCAGAGTAAGCGTTGGCCCCTGGGTTAGCTAGTCACACCTCCTAGCTAGTCCCATCAACACCGTGCATGGTGACAGCTCCATGGAGTTCACAGGCACCAGTTGGGATCATACAAGCCTTCCTCACGAGAGGCTATACCCAGGGACAGGGCAGCAAGAAGGAAGTCTCAATTATGTGGGTTAAAATGAGATTCCAAGCCAGAAAGACTTGGTCATGATAGCAGTCAAGACAGCAACGACCAACCTCAGTGTCCTCCTGTAGCATGTTGGTACTTCCCACCCTGGGCAGCAGCAAACAGTGTTTTTAGGCAAGCACACAAGGGCAAGATTCTTTATATAACTGAACCTGCATTTAAAGAATGGCAGCTGGCAGCCAGCCCTGGCAATATATGGATCACATATCACATTAAGTCCTGTATAAACAGGTCTGGAGCATGGCAAAGATGGCCCTGGTCTCCTGCCAGCGCAAGCATCCCTGGGGCACCCGGGGAACCACACCTGTGTTGTCGGGCTGGCACTTCACTTCCAGGTCCACTGTGGACAGGCAGAGCTTGTTATTCTCCTGCAAGGCTGTCAGCTCTTTGGGGCCCTTCATGGAGCTACCCACGCTGAGACGGCGCCCCACGGTCGTCACTTGTTTGTAAAACTGCTTCCCAGTGATTTTGTGGTCAAACCCCAGCCAGCTGAACTTTATTTTCACCCTGTTGGGCAGTAAAGAGAATGAGCACTGCAACACAGGGTGGTGAATCAGAGGTAGCAAAGTTGCAGGAGTCAGAAAAGCAACAGATGGATTCAAGCACTGGTTTTCATTTACAAACCCACAAGTAGCCTGGGATCCCGCAGCACAGATAGACACTTCCCTTGGGCCATTTTGGCACACGTCAGTACAGCAGTGCTTATTGCTGCTGGCAGAGCATTTTCTTTCACAAACCCTATGCTCTGGATGGCTCAGCCTTGCACAGATATTCACCAGTTAAGACATCAAACTAGGGGTGTACATAAGTGCCCAACACAAGAAGCATCAACAGTTAACAACAGGCAAGAGTTTCTTGTCCATTCCTCCAAATTATGAGTGCTGCTATTTTCTAGAGTGTTTAGGATGGGATAACCTTTTGGGGCATTTTAGATGACACTTACGTATAGTCCATGTCCTCTGGACCTGGGAAAGGCTCCAGTGGCCAGTTGAAGAAGCAGTTGAGGAAAACTAATCCTGCGCAGCTTGCCCACACAAGCAGAATAAGGATGAAGGAGACCCCAAAGTCATATATAACCTGGGAATCACATCAAAATATGGTTATTTGCTACAAGAAGTTTGGAGTGAAGCTGTGGGGAAGAGCAACAAACAGACCATTTTATGGCATTTGTTGAGTTCTTGGGACAGTCATGTGGGAAGTCTGCAACACAGACAGGAACCGAATCTTGCAAACACACTTCTCTAACAAATGCTTTAACAAATAGTCTCCCTCTCTCTTCCCCCATTATTGCCAAATGGTGAAAAACCCGAGCACACGAGTACCAGGCATGACTAATAAGCTGACAGCCTCACCTTGATTCCTGGAAAAGTAACAGCAGAAGAAGCATAGGAGCCAATCATCAGAGCAATGAACGTGGAACGAAGGTCACCAAACATGTTGGGCAACTGGGGAAAGAAAAAAAAAAAACAGCTGAAAACACATTGTGGCCAAGGGTAGGAAAGAACAGGGAAGGAAACTCTCTCAAGACCCTGATATTTAGTACTGAGACCTCTGGATACCAGAACCTGAAGAATGCCTCCCCCAGGAATGAGGTAGCTCTTGATTGTGCTCTGGGACACAAGAGCTACCAGCTGCATGTGCGTCTCCACTGCCAGTGTCTATGATCCAAGATTAACACGTGCAATAGGGCTGCTTCTTTCCAGACTGACCACATACCCGGCATTCACTACCTTTAGCACTGCCGTGTTTGTCCCACATTGCACCTGCCCCTGCTCTTTCTTGGCTAGCTCCTTTCCCCAAATCGGCAGCTTTTTAAATAACCAAAAGAAAACAAATTTCTGTCACTGCCTAAAGCTCTGCAAGCTGGAAATTACAGGGACAGCATTAAATCATAGGCTGCAGACCTCAGCCCCTGCTCCTGAGGCTGGTCCACAGGCAGAGATGGAGCTTTGGGCTGACAGATTTCCCTCCCATCTCCTTTTTCAGGTCACTCCTCCCCAAAATCACGTTGCCATCAGCAGCCTGGCAATCTCAGAGGGCCTCAAAGCAGGACACTGCAGGTGCCTAGGACTGGAGCATAACCACCATTTTATCTGCTTAGAAGCGCTGCACAAAATGACCTGGAGAATATTAGACAGAACCTGGGTGAGCAAACACTCTCTTCAGATCCCCCTTTCCCGGCTGCAAAAACAAATCCATTTTTCCCCAGGAGCGGCAGTTAAGGCAAGCAAATCTGGCTTGTGTCACGGCCGGAGCAGCGTGTTTACAACACGAGTATTCCGATGCAGGAACGCTCCGGGATCCATCTGGCTGTTTATCATCCCTCCGTCTCACTGCGGCACTTTCTGCGCGGCGCAGCCTCCAGGTCCTCGGATGACCCCGGCCGGGGAACAGCAGCAGTGACGAGCAGAGCCTGATGCTGCCGGAGATCCCCGAGCGGCCGCAAGCGCTGCCCAGGATCAGGATCCATCCCCACACCCAGCCCCGCATCCCTGCGGCCGGGACGGCTGCCAAGGGGCTGCGCACAGGAAACGGCCACGGATCCAAAGGTCTGTTAGCAGGCACAGAATCATCCCTCCGCGGAGGCAGCGGCCTCAATCCGCATCCCAGAAAACAGAATCTGCAGCAGCAAATAGCTGCGGGTTGTTGCAAGGAGGATGGTCGCTGTCGCCAGGCAGGGCATTTGTTTTGTCTCAAATGCCCCACACTTATCCCCAGAAGTGACAGCAAGCAGCTGGGGAGCTCGGCACGGGGCAGCAGCTCTGCCAGCACAGCTGCTCCCGGGCTGGGGCTGCTTGTCCCCCAGTCACAGAGATGACAAAAAGCCTTTTTCATGGAGCAGACAAGTAACTCTCAGGTGGATCTTCTTATATTGGGAGCCACTGGAGACAGAGCAGGCCCGAAAGTGAGCAGTCACGCTCAGAGAAAACCCCAATCTGCCTCCACCAGCACTGGAAGTCCTAAAAAGGCTCAAGGTTCCTAAAATCCTATTTGGCATCAAAAAAAAAAATGAACAAAGGAGATGCTTTGGGATTGGATAGGATTGTAAGAGGCAACTGCAGCTGCTGAGCTGGGGGTGGAAAAGCCTGAGAATACCCAAAGGAGCAGAGCGGAGGCAGGGAGAAAAGCAGCCCAGCCCTAGAAAGGAAACCTTGCAGACTGCAAGCGCCAGCACTGGTGGGGCCTCTGCAGGCCTCTACTAAAGACCAGCTACTAAAAATCACACACTATTTATTTACTAACCTATTTTTCAAGCTGTCTATAAAGCAGTGAGCCTTGCAAAAAAAAAAAAATAAGATCTGTGGAGACAAACAGGCACAACAAGAAGGCTCTTTGTTTTTCTGCCCCCAGAAAGGTCTGATCCTCAGTCTGGTCTTATCCTTACACTCCACAAAGGACCCCAGTAATTTCTGCCTATACTGGTAGGATTGTCCCAATTCCAAAAGACTGAAAGTGAGATAAACTCCTAAAGCTTCCAGCTGTTTAGAGGCCAGCAACACCCAACATATAATTAATTTCACCCCTTGTCTGAAAGATACAGTATGTAAAGACTATATTAGTGGGTAACTGTTTCTTCCTGGGGCCCATTGCAGCTATGGCATTCTCCACTATTAACATCATCTCAGTTTTGCAGGTGATTGTCCCCTCCTCTGTCCCCTACAGGGTTTAGGACCTTTGATTACTCTTAGGACTTTTCAGTCTTTCCTTGAAGAGTCCCCACTGCCAAATGAGGAAAGAAAAAACCTATGAATGAACTAGTTACTTTTATAGTTTTATAACAGCCTAAAACAAAAAACACACTTTGAAATGGTAGGAAATGATGGCTTAAACCGACAAACGACAGTACAGCAATATTATCAAATCCAGTTTCCCTCTTCTTGCAAGCCATGGAAAAAGTCAGGGGACTGAACTAGACAACTGAAGAATGGTATTTTTATTCAGGCTGAACTTTGTTTTCCCTATCAGGAGGTATATTTGGACATTATGCAAGCATTAAAAAATATGTTCTCCAGAAAAACCTCAAACCGCCCCATTTGTCCAAGCCATACGGAAAATCCCATTCCCCTTTTCCAACAAACAAGAGATCACAGAGCCCTAAATACTCCTAAGATTTCCGAGCAGAAAAGCTTCCCTATGCAAAGATGCTCCCCCCCCTCCCTGGCAAATTAAAGAGCACTGTTTGTAGTGCAGAATAAGAGCAAAGCAGCTGTAATTCTCTGAAAGGAAAACAGAACAGGAAAACAATCTATAAAAGGCTCTTTGTGGTAATTTATCACACATGTTTATTTCTTTGCATGCAATAGCTGAGGAGCAGAACCGGCGCCAGATTCTGCTGCTGCTGTCAGAGCCACCAACACGGATCTGTTTCCATTTCCACTCTCCGCTCATATTGGCCAAGCCCGAGTCACGCGGCAGGAGTCTCCCCTCTGCATTTCCACACCAGGCACGGCCTGACCTTGTTCCCAGCACTGGGAACACGGCTGCTCGCTCCTCCCCACGCTGCAGCGCCCGGCAAGCGCCCGTGCTCGGCCTCCGCGACTCCCTTTGCATCCACATTAAAGCCCGGGGCTGACGAGGGCTCTTTCCAGCACCTCCGAGCAGCCTGAGGTGCCAGGGGACCTGCTGGCACCCTGGAGGGTTCCTCCCGTTTTGTGGAAGGTTCAGGTTGCTGGCGGGGAAGGGAGTCACCTTGCTGTGAGCTGGGCGCCCACGTGCGTGCTCGGCACGAGCGGCTGATCGGCGTGTCCTCCCGAAGGGCTCTGAGCCTCCACCTGAAGCGGCACGTCCAGGTGACCCGCACTGCCCTGCCGGGCACCGACCTGCCACCCCCAGCGCCCTCCCCGCTGCCTTGCGGGACCCGTGGCCCTTGCAGACCCACAAAGGACCAAGTCAGGATGGTTTTCAAGACAGCAGCTGTGGCACTTGGGCAGAGCCACCAGGAGCACACTAGAAAGGTGCCTATGGATAAAATGCATGTCCTTGTACCATCCATCGGCCACAACGCATGGATTGCTGCACGCAGTGACGCAGGTGACGCATCTCCCTCCCACTTGAGACTATTTTTGATGCCGCTCACGCGCCTCAGGTAGCAAAACGCCTCTGTGCAGCTCTGCTCAGAGGTGCAACAGGCAACATCTGCACCCGGGTTGAGGATCCAGGCCTGAAGCCACCTCGGGCTCTCCAAGAAACACACGAGCGCCTGCTGGAGACAGGCTCTACCCAAGGCCTCCCCGCGCGAGCTCACAGCCTCGCTGCTCGTTCAGAGCTCCTCAGAGCCCAGAGTCCTTCCTGCACGGCCCAACCCTCCTGCAGCAGCCGTGGTTCTGCAGTGCCGTGGAACCGACTTGCTAATGAGGGCACTAATAGGTGGCCCTGCTTATTTCTTCTTTGGCTAAAAGCCACGATAATGCACAGCCAGTATTCCCACGCCCTCCCTTCCACCATCTCTGGTGGCTTTGAAGAAATCCATTTCCCTGGGATACTTGGCCAGACCAAGGCACCCAGTGGTGGTAGCAGCAGGATGGGAGCCCTCTCCTCACCCCTGCAGCTGCTCTTAGTGCTCCTTTCTTCCTTCCCTTCATCTGAAGCGGAGCGGGACAACCTTTTCCCCACAGCTCCTTGGGGTACTGGCCAAGGCTTCCAGAAAGGAGCATTGCATAGATATGAGACATCAACATCTGCGGTTTTGAAAGCTTTGAATGGATGAAAACAACCACCACAGTAACATCACAGTAAACACCGTGATCTCTAAATCCAGCCTCCGGCAAATTTAGGTCTCAGGAGTTCAGCCAAGGCCTAAGTTGCCTTAAATCAGAAGCAACCTTAAAGTTTTTACTTTAACAGCAAATTCAACTTTAGCAGCAAGTTCAAGGTGATGCAGAAAGTTTCCAGCTCCAGCCTAAGAAATGTCAGTGCTTCCTGAGCTGTTTTCTCCACTCAGCCCCATTTCAGCCACTCTTACAAGGTTAGGAAAACAAGGCAGAAAACAAAGCAGCTACTTTGAGGATTATATTGTTCCCATTTCCAGGCAACAAGAACCCCAAAAGGCACAGAGCCAGCTGACACTGAATGACGGTTGCAATCAATGGAAGATCTAAGTGGTCTGTGCAGAAGGAGCTGGGTGCATTCAACAACTCAGCATTTCCAAGAAAACCTGGAAGGCTTCCCCTGCCCCAAACAATTCCAGTCTGTTATCATTCCCATCAGCAGCCCAGCAGTTAGTTGGCACTTAGAGAGCCAGTCCTACCCGGCTGCAGGGGGTTTGTGCCTTCCTTCGGCACGTGAAAGCTAAATCCAGTGCAAACATGTGCAACTGCCCCTGTCCTGTTCCAGATAACTGAGCACTCTGTGTACAGGCACACAGCAACTCGAGCTCAACACAAAAACACTCCTTTTCACCTTCACCCGAGAGGCAGGTAGCAAGGCACAGACAAAAATCCACAGCTTAGAATAACAAGCTAATACTGAGGGTTTCAGATATGAGTGCATACAATTTTTGATTTACATCCAAGTAAAACATGTGCCACTCAAGCCACAGGCAAAAGATCCACTTAATTCTCTCCTGCTAGCCCAGCTCGCAGCATAATGAGGGATAAAACAGTCATGTAATAATTCTTCACTTACCGTAAGCGATGTGAAGGTCATGCACATCCCTCCAAAGCCATTCAGAGCCAGTGCAATGAATATCAACACAGAGAGAGCTGCAACAATAAAAAAAAGCCCAAAGTTTACTGGGGTGGGGAGGAAGAAGAGACCAGAGTCCTCAGGGTGTTGGTCCTGACATGTGAAGCATCAGTGAAACACCACCCTCCAAGTGCCATGCTGCTCATGCAGCCACACACCGATGTGGAGCGAGCACACTGCGTGCAATTTGCTAACCTATTTCCTAACACTGAGAGCCATGAACTTGTTTGAAATTACTCATGTACAGCACCTGGAGCTGCCCCAAATCAAAGGGTGCTCGTGGGTGCTTGGTTCTTGCTGTGCCACTTACAGCCACAAAAGCCAGCCCTCCCCAGTGTCACTGAACTCACATGGGCCAGGACCTGCTTGACTTGTGTCCCCAAGACCCTGGTACTGCTTGGTCAGGGCCCACAGCTTCATGCACATTTTTCTGAAGAGAACAGAGCCTCTCAGCAGCACCACAATCACAAAACCTTTGCAGTCCAGCACAGAAAAACATACTTACAGTCTGGGTTGCTGGCACCATATGCAATCAGCACACAGGACACAGCAAAGCAGGCACTGAAACAGAATCGAAGCCAGGAGTCTTACCAAGAGCCACAACTACACACACCTCTACCTCCTCAGCACTGGGTTGAGTAGTCCCTGTGTAATTTGTACAACACACAGGAACACTGGCAATCTGGGCAGAAAAATCTAGAGAAATACCCAGGTGTTACAGAAAACCTTGCACAAAGGCCCGGAGAGCCAGGTTTTCCTCTCAGCACTCTTGCATGGCTCTTGCTGGACCCAATTTCCCTCCTGGCTTTGACGCACAGACCTCACCCCATCTCCCCAGGAGGTGACCAGAGACAGCGGCAGCCTTCGCCTCGGGGCACCGTTGTGGCCACAGCACTGAGTCCTTCCCAGTCCTCTCTCAGAAAGGGTCTGAGTCACAGGGATTTGCTCTGTTCTCCCTGCTCTGCCTACAGGCCAGTTTGGTTTCTTCTGCAGTTCAGAGCACTAAAAGCTTTGTAGAACCAGGGCTCAGCATGCCCACAAAGTCACTGATCCCTACGTGCTATGGCAGAAGTTGCTGACAACTTTGCTACATGGGGTAGACATCAACACAGAGCACTTGCATAGCAAAGGAGGAATCTTGGAAGGGCAGGTGGGATGTGTTTGTCCCCAAGGAAACTCCCTGGCTCTGGCAAGCCGTGATGTAACATCTCAGGTTTATGTTCCCCAGGACACAGCTCCAACATCAAGGGCAATAGCTACCCTCCATGATTCACAAAGGACTCCGCTCTTCCTCCAGGCTCCATCTGGCCAGGGAGCACAGAGTGACAGTGGAGAGCTGAAACTTGGACTTCGAGTCCCAGGCCTGTCCCTCAGGGAACGACTTATTGTGCAGCTTGATGCTGGCTGAGGTCATCCAAGAGCTGCTCCAGAATCCCACACATGGCTGGGCTGATCCCAAGCCCAACTCTCACCCCCAAACCTACATGGGGGCCCAGACACCCACCTGCCCAGTAGCCGCAGCTTGCGAGGGCCGTACTTGTCCATGACGATCCCCAGGGGCAGGGTGATGGCACTGAGCAGGAAGGAGCCAATGGTGAAGGCCAAGTTGAGCATTTCATCTTGGGCATTGCAGGAAGGCCATTTGCTCTCCAAAGCCGTGGCATTTTCCTGTTCGTGGTGGCCTGTGGCATTTCCTAAAGGGGGTAACAGAGGATGGTCATCGCAGCGTGATGCAGAAGGACAGACCCACATGCAGGCTGCCAAAAGGCACCCAACACGTTCCCATCACCCCTACTTTTCACTGCAGTCAACAAGAACTGGCAGAAGCCAAGAACAAGAACAGCAGAAGGACCAGGGAAACAGTCAATCCAGCTGGAAACAGGGAAAGGTACCAGGGAACAAACCTCCCATGGAGCAGCCAGGCCAGACCACTCACATTAAGGGCAGAGATTCATTTATTTATAAGCCCAACTATACAACAAGGCTCCTGCAATTCCAAGAGACTATACCCAGTAGGACTGGGACTAACACAAAAACAAGGTACTCCTAATCCAAGACCAGCATGTTCTCACAGAGCCGTCCCTGAAGTAAACTAGAAGCACTAGCTACAGCCAAAGCATTTGTTTCGGATCCAGACACGAGGCTGACGGGGCCTGACCTGGAGCAGCAGCTTTCTCAAATGACAAACCTCCTGCCCTTGCTCTGGACGCTGCAACACCAACAAGGGACAGGGACCCAGCAACCACCCGGTGCCTTGATTGCACCAGCTCAGGAGAGCCCTCCTAAATTTAACTCCTCTGCACCCAGGAGGGGTTATCGGCCTTCGCTCCTTGTTTACGTGGGCACAAATCTAACTTCTGCCCCCCAATTCCTGTTTTCTGCTCTTCCCAGGCTGGTGTAGGTTCAACAACATCTCCACTTTCCGTTCCTGTCTTCACATGATGAACGCTGCATGCAAACTCCCACACAGAGCAGCGCTCGGGTTGTGTAACCGCCACAGAAACAGGACAGTTCAAAAAAAAAAAAAAAAAGCCCCAGAAAGAAGTTCCCTTTTCTCTGCAGCAGCAGTTTCACTGCCTGCTGTCAACTCTGCCACAAACCAACCCAAAGCAGCCTTGTAGCTCCTAACACGTGTGCCACAAGGCTTCCATTAACCTGGAGCGCTCCCGTGCTCCACCCCTCCGTCTCCCAGCACTTATCTGGGGTTTGAGTAACCTTTGTCGGGATGACAAAGCACTTGGTGCTTTTACTGCTGCAAGCCTGTGACATAAAGCACTCTCCTCCATATTTAATAACCATTCTGGCAAAATGCAGTGCTAAAGGAAAAGAAGTCATCTACATGCATGCTTGCATGAAGCAAGAGCAGAGCTCTGAGCAGGAACTGCGAGTGAATTAGCAGGAATCCCTCCTGTGCCAGCAGCCTGACGTCTGCTCTTGGTGTACCCTGCGGGCAGGATCCCTTCTCGCCTGCCCTGTCTTAGTGGGGATCAAGTTGCCCCCCTCACAACTGCTCCCTTTCCACCCAAACCCCTGCACGGCTCCAGTGACTGGCTGCACCCAAGTCTTCCCAGCTGGCGGCTTTGCTCCACTTGCCCAAATAACCCTCCCAGTTGTGCAGTCACATATAAGCCATGCTCCAAAATCCAGAGATTCACACACTGATATCAGGCTTATAATCTCCCTGCACACATCCCTCCTCTCCCATCCCACTCTCTGGGTGGGTGCGCAGTGTTTCCCTGCTTCCAGTGGCACCACTCTCCCCAGCACCTCGACCAACAGGGTCCCAAGCCTTCTGCAGCCAGTGGTAACAGTTTGCTCTTCCCTGTTGTTCCCCATAACCACTCAGTAAATCGCTTTGTCCCCTTCTCTGCAAGCTGAAGTAGCCACAGAAAATGACATCAACCCCACAAGCCAGGTACCACCAGCAGCCCTTTTGCAGATGGGCACATGCCAGCACCAAAGCAGAAGACAGTCCTGGGCAGATGGCAGGTTCTCTGCTGCCTCTATTCAAATCCAGCTCCTTTTATCCATTTCCCATCTCTATCTACTCCTGCCTTGGCCCAGGGTCTCACACAGCATCTCACAGCAGCGGCCACGTGCCTTTCCCCACAGCACCAAGCCTCCCCACGGCACCGAGGGTCCCCGCACAGATAAATTCATAGGAAACAGATGTGGGTGAAAAGTTAACTCAGAAAAACAAGGCGGGGGAAAAGAGTGACAAAACAGTGGTGAATTCCCTGTGTCAGCACTCTGTGCGATGGCTCGGCGCGGGGCGGAGGGGGCAGCGACCTTACAGTGCCTGCACGCCCGGCAGCCTCAAGACAGAGGCATTAGCACTGAAAACTGCAACAGACAAATTATGTTTAATGTCCTGGGCTTGTACAGTTGCATCCTGGCCCCGAAGAGCTCGTCTGGCAGATGCCTGTAAACCACGGAGCCTCCGAGGGGAAGGCCAGGAGCTGAGGGGGACCCGGTCTTGGAAACGGTGCTGGGAGGAGCTCAGGCTTCTCCAAAGATCACACGGAGCGGCCAGGGATGAGGTGCCAAATGTTGGCACCTGCCCGCGCCAGGCACCCTGTTTGCATCTGTTCTGAGCAGGGGCTGGGCAACAGCGTGCTATGGAAATAAAAATTGTCTGCAAAAATAGCAGCAGCCCCCGAGCAACAGGAGGGGATTCGCTGCAAGGCCGCGGAGGCAACGCCAGGCACCTTGTCCGCGTGGGCATCGTCCCCAGCTCCTCCTGCCAAGGCCCTTCGTGCACCAGCCCGATCTGTCCCACGTGCAGGAGGTGTCACCTGGACGAGCGGCTCCTTTGCTGCCACCTCATCTCACCCTCAAGCCAGAGGAGGCCACAAGCCATGAGAGCAGCTACAAGAGCATCCCGCTCATCCCTCCTGCTCCCACCCCTCGCAGCAGGATTCCTGCTGCCCACTTAGCAGCTCCAGCTGCTATTTAAAGGAGGGAGGCAAGGTGAGAGGCAGGCGGCCTCGCTCCTCGTGGGCGTCACGCTCATCACCGGGATTTGTTCTGGCTCCCACCGGAGCATTTAGAGCCATTCTTTCTCCCAAATTAAATGCCACAGGTTTCGTCAGAGGGTCAATCATTAACTGCTCTTCGCTGACCTCCCTCGTCCTGTACTGCAGGAATGAGTCTGGCTTTTTACAGCAGCAGCTGCCATCTCAGACAGCAGAGCAGGTTTCTCTTTCATCTCGTTCCTTAGATAAGGCTAAGGAGGCAGGCGAGCCACCCTGGCACGAGCTCTGCAGGGGACACAGCCTGTGTGGCCTCACCTTCCTCTCCCAAAAGGGCTCGTGAAAACCAAAGTGAAGGGCAAATGGAACTAAGCAGCCACGTAAGACTGGGATTTTTCTTCAGGATGGTGTTAACACTTTTGAGAACCAGATGCGCAGCCCTTCTTGCTTTATTTCATTGCAAGTGCAGTTAATTCAGGTTTCCCCTGGCCACCCCTCCACTTGCACCTCTAGGACAGCCCCACCAAGAGGCCTTGAGAAAGGGACTTACAATGGGACTGCCTAAGGGAGGGGCAACCTCATGTTAATCAAATTCCCCTTTTCTCCCCAAGTAGAGGCTCACTTTGCAGCACTTCTCACCACACGTGCTGCTCTGACGGCGGGGACAGCTGCAAACGAGCGCACTGCGTTTCCTGCAGACACTGAACATTCACCAGCTCTACACTTTTCCTGTTTACAGGGCCACACGTGCAGCCTCCCCAGGAGCTGTCATCACATCTCACCAGCTTGGGAGGGACCTTAAGTTCCCCACCACAGTTCCCACCACAGACCCCCTGGTTTTATCTCAAATTTAGCAGACACGGGAGCTCAGCCATGAGCAGCACCTTCTTCCTACGCCTGCCACTAAAACACCCTATCTCATGGCAACCAAGTTCACTTATCTCTGAGGGTTTTTTTGCAGCTCTGTCTTAAGGGAAGGCCCCCTGTGTCCTTATCTCTGTTCTTTGTGAACGTATTACCAAGTTTGAGAACTTTTTAACATATATCAGGAAGCTCAAGGCTTAGGCCTTTCCAGCGCGTGCAGTATTGCAGCAGTGCGAGGCCCTGAGCAGACTGGGCTCCCCAGGAGCTGATAACGCCACGATCCTGATAAAGTCTGTGGAATCAGCAGTTCCACCAAGCAGAAGATGCTGCTTCAAACTGGTTAAAGGGCAACATGCAGGAAAATTAAAAGGGGAACAAAGTGCCACCATTAGATTCCGTGTCAGCAAATTGCAAATGCACCTCCCAGAGCACAGCCAAATGTGCTGTCCAGCCTGGGACAAGCTAGCCCTCCATTCAAACCCCAGGGCACAAGTGCTTGAAGTAATATATGTAGAGCACCCTTGACATTAATTCAGTTGCATGAAGGTAAAGATGAGCACCTAGAAAAAAAAGAGTCAAGCAAATCCCATGGGGAATAGAAAGATGGGTCCCTCATGAACTGCAGTTGCTTTCAAGACAGCTACAAATGTCTTCAGAGAAGAGCCTGCAGAAGGGACAAGGTCTAGTTCTCTTGTAAGAAGGCATCACAAAGTGCAGAGCTTTTGCTGACAAAGGGAAAGCCCTGCCAAGAACCTTTGGCTCATTAGGAAGAGACTTTTTTTTTTTTGCAATACTTGCAAACAGCAGCATTAGGAACAACAAGTGCCCAAAGGCAACTAGTTATGGTTTCTTCATTTCTACCAACCTTCACCTCAAGCAAGTACCCCTTTCAGCTGTAAGACTCAACAGATTATGTTGGGAAAGACCAAGCTACCCTCATTCCAGGGAAAGGCTGAACTCTGCTCCGCAGCCAAGCTCTCTAGGGAGCCTGTTGTCCTCGCCCCAAGCCATGGTTCCTCCCTCCCAAGTGCCCAATATTGCTACTGCAAGGACAAAAAGAAAGCATGAGCAAGCACAGGTGAAAGAGCAAACCAGCAGAACTGGCCTCTGCTGCTCATCACAAGCCATCACTAAGTTCAACACTGATGGCCAGATATTTGAGGACCATAAGAACATTTGACAAGATATTTTTTTGTTTTCTCTGTGCTTAAGGTCTTCTGCCTCTGCTTGCAGGTTGGTCACTGGAGGAAGAAACCACCCTCAGGGCAGTAATTCCATCCCAATCCAAACATTTACATCTTCCTCTGCGGTATGTGGCACTCCCATAGGGAGATCCAGACAGACCACAGATTAGCAAACATGAGCGGGAAGTCAAGACAAATCCTTTGGGTAAAGGCTGCATGGACAGAGAGGAATCAGAACAACCAGCACAGGGTGAGCCAAAGTGCAGCAGGGCTCTTGGCCACAGGGTCCTGCTCACAAAGCAGATAGGAAACAACTTTTCAGAGGCAGTCAGCATTTGCTTATCAGCTCTCACATGTTTTATCTTGGGGGCAGAAAGGCTCCACCTGGTGCATTTAATGAGGTGTCTCACAGGCCTGTGACAAGGCTGCTGCAGCTCGACAGGAGCAAAGCAGCCTTGGCCACAGGTCCTAAGTGATCTCCAGCTGAAGGTCAGTCTGGAGCACCACTGGACACCTATGATATTGGCAGCTGGAAGAGCCACACTATGAGCAGAGGCAGGAAGGAAGAGGTAGCCAGGCTACAGCTGACAAAAGTCAAAAAAAAGAGAAAAGCCTGTTAGTTCTTAGCTGGGTGCAGCAGCCCTGGCTCAACAAGGCTGAGGTAGCTACTCACCAGCAGACAGAGGAGAAAGGTCTGTAGCAAGCAGGAGATGAATGAGAAACTACTGCTGGCTTAGCAGAAAGAGAAAGTGAGCTACCATGACAAGTATTCAGAGTCAGCTATTGCCCAGACTTTGTCTCCTCACTTCTTGGACTTACCAAGTTCTCAGCCATGATGCACTGACTGCCCTGGGCTCCGGGCACTCACTTCAGCCCTTTTTTGTCCTCCACCCTCCAGGCCCACTTTCATCTGCTCTCTGGACAGAGCCCAAAGACACAGCTCCTGCCTCCCTTCTCTCTGCTCTTCCCTCCTCTGCCAGACCACAGCTCTTCAACAGGCAGCACACACAACCCCCATCACCAAAGCACTTTCCAAGTCCATTCTCCACCTGTACTCCACATGCCCTGCATCCTCACTGCCCCTTGTGTGCACCTCCCTAACCCACATGTCTCTCCATGCACAGGCTGGGGGGATCTACATCCACCTACACATTGTTTTTCCCTGCACTGCCCTCCCCACACTACAGGATTGCAAAGAGGCTGTATAGACAGCTGTATAGACTCTTGCTTGTGAAGACCACATGCCAGATGCACCTCTCATCCACACTTTTTCCTACTCCAGAAAGGATCCCCATAGCTCTTCCACACACTTAGGACCCCTAAACACATCAGGCTGCATCTGCCTCCCCATGCAAAGACCAGCCAGGCCTCCACAAGGAAGGAACCACCCATTGCTTTGCATAACCTTTAAGGCCTCCTTTCCATTCACTCTGCAAAGCAACAGCAACCACAGCAGTGTTCCTTCATCTGAAGGATGCCACTATTTTTTGGCAAGGAGCCCCATGGCAGCAGCCCTGCTCTAGCCACCTCCAAACCACCCCAAGGCAGGAAACCACCCAAATGAAGCTCAGCAGCAACCTCTCCACACAACCAGCCCCTCGGGGCAGCCTCACCTGAACCATAGCACAGGTAGGAGTAAAACCCTTCTGCTTTCAGCATGATGAGCAGGGACCCCCAGCCCAGCAGGACAGCCGAGAAGAGCAGGTTCTCGATGATGGCCGTGAACGCCATCCACCAGCGGCGGCGATGAGCGGTGGCGAGCGTGGGAGCCATGGCTGCAGGGCAGACTGCTCCAGCAAAGCCTCCACCTGCAGGGACAGCAATGACCCCCATGAGTTATCGGGCAGAGCACAGAAAAAGCAGGACTTTAAAAGACTACCCCTCCTGAAAAGGAGCGAGGCCACCTGCTGAACAAAGAGCACTCAGGTGTAAAAGTTATTCTTGTGGTTAAGCCAAAGTGCCAAGTTACCTGGCGGGACGGTGGGCAGAGCGCCCTTGTCCCAGCCCCTCGGAGCTCCAAGGAGCATTCAAGGTCTCCGTTCCACTGCCCAAGCAACAGGTATGAAAACACAGCAAACGGCAGCTGCCCGGACCACTGCTCGGCACCTGCACGAGGCAGGGGGGCTGCTCTGCACCAAGACACCCCCCCTACCTGCACAGGGACCCAGGGCATCGGGCCTCGCTCTGCCGGGGTGGCCACCCAGTGTCACTCGCATCATTTATCCCATAAACTGCCCAGAATGGAGCGTTTTCACTACACACACTCCCCTGGCACTGATCCCCTGCCATGGCACGGCCGGGTGTGCGGGCCGCGTGCCGCTCCACCCGCTCAGCGCCCTGGCATCCCGCTGGATGCAGATGGATTAACTGTCTCCAGCTCCACCTGTCCCCAGAGCAGCCGCAGGGCTGGGCTGCCAAGGGGCAGCAGCGGGGAGCTCCGAGGCGCTCGGAGCCGTCTGGGACGGGCTGCAAACCCGGGGCGGGTGCTATGGGGACTGGGTGGATGCCCAGCCCCTAAGGCTCCTTCCTGTGGGGCACGGACCCAGCTTTGGGCAGCTCCGGGGGCAGCCCGGCCCGGCCCACGGTGACAGGGGACACAAGACGCTGTCACCCCCCCCCCAGCAGCACCCCCCACCGCGCAGGCCCGCTGTCCCCAGCGCCACCCGCGACGCATTTCCTGCACTTCCTCCTCCGCCGCCTCCTCTTCGCATCCTGTGCGCCGCACGGCCCCCTCCCCAGCCCCACAGGTCCCTTCCCCAGCCCCATGGGCCCCCAGGGCCACCTCTCCCCACAGCCACCCCCTCCCCAAGCACCCTGCCCTTATGACACCCCCTATCCCACCCACAACCCCCCCCCACAGGCTGCTCAGCCCCTCCACACACCCTGCTCTCCCCAGAGACCCCCTATGCACCCATCTCTCTCCCCTGTCTGTGAAGGGGCATTTCCCCGTGCACAGATGCTGCCCGGCACCCCATTGCCCCCACCAGCCCCCATATAACCTGTTCTCCATCACACACCAGCCCATCATGTCCTGCTCCCCCATGCACCCTGCTCTCCTGCTAGCCCCACTGCACCCCACTCACCCCCCAATGGAGCCCGTTCCCCCTCCGCAGCCCTCAGTCCGCTCTCCCAGCCAACCCCTCCTGCTGCTGTCCCCTCCACAGACCCTCCGTGCACCCAGACCTGCCTCTTACCGACCCCCAGCATCCCCACTATCAACCCCCCAAGCACCCAGCTCTCCCCAATAAAACCCCCTCCCAACCCAAAT